ATAAAATTAAAAAGAAAGGCATAAAAAAGAGACAAAACAGAGAGAACCTAGAGGTAAGGGGGCCAGGCAGAAGGACAGATAACCGTGACACTGACTCGCTTCCAGGGACTGTTACTTGCCCCCTGGTGGCCTTCAGGGATATTGCACGAAGCCAACGACAATCCTACGTTAAATGTTCACGTCGGTGTCACCACTGGGGCAATTTCTCGTGGGATGGATAAAACTATATCAAGAGTAGAATACCGGGCCAAGTCTGGTGGCTCTACTCTTGCTATAGGAATTCCTGGATGAGGAGTAGGAAATAGGACATCTGAGATGGAGTTTGGGATCCAGTATTATCTACATCCTTGAACAAGCCACTGAGTTCTTCCTTGCCCCTGTTTTCCTTAACAATCATGAAAGACCATAATTGTTCTGATTCATACTTCTGTAAAGAAGCTGCCTAGTGTATATAAAACATTAGCAGTTCATAAGAAAGTTCAGTTTACTCTCCCAACTTTCTAAGCCACCTTCATGTCCATTGCCACCAGTAGGAGGTGAGCCATGGGGCTCTGAGTGTGTATGTGTGCTGGACTCACACATTCAGGCTCCCCGAGAAGGAGACATGATTCTGAAGTCTCTCTCCAAGCATCTTTCCAAAGTGACCATCCAGCCAGGCAGGCCACCATCATCTATCTCTGCTTCAGACTCCTGCCATGGCTTCTAAAAGGCCTTCCTGTTGGCCCACTTGCCTCCCTCTAGGGCATGCTCCACTCAGCAGCAAGAGCAACCTTCTTAGGACACACATCAGATCACACCATTGCAGCATGCATCCATTCAGAGGCTTCCCACTGCTCTCAGAACAAAATCCAACCTTCTTTTCATGGCCTGCAGGACTCTGAAATTATCTGTCCTACTTGCCTCACCTTGAACCCCTCTCCTCTCACACCACCCTGCAGCCACACTCGCCTTCTTTCAGTTCCTCAGACACACCCAGCTCCTTCTTGCCTGAGTGCAGTGTGCTGTCTTTGCCTCTGGTTCAGAACATGTCCGCCCTCTGACATTTGCATGACTGCCTCCTCTGTCTCATCAGATCTCAGCTTCAATGTTTCCTTTTGGGAACATTTGCGACTACTGTGAAATCCTTCTTCCTTTAGCCTCTATTTGGGCCCTCTGTTTAGGTCCTCCAAGCACTTATCATTTAGTTTGTTTCCTTTTTTTTTTTTTTTCTTGGTCTACCTCCCCAGCTAGACTGTAAGCTTTATGAAGAAAAGGTGAAATCTTTGCATTCTTATTCACTCTTGCAACAGTATGTGGCCCATAGTAGATCCTTGAATTGTTGTTGCATAAATATATGAATGAATGGATGAATAAAGTGGAACTTGACATATTGGAGGAACAGAAAAAAGTGAAAATTTTACAGGTTTAAGAAAACTGGAGCAGGGTGTCAAGGGGGATGCTTTTGGCACAAAGGATGTACAAGCTGTCTCAATAGAAAATGTGCCAGATTTGAGAGAGAGGCTTGTGAAGTAATCACAGTCACCAAGACCAAACAGAGAAATGCAGACGCTTGGAGAACCCTCACACCAGACAATGGAATGCACCATGTAGAAATAATACTGGAGTTTCTGTCGTTATAACATATTTAGAGTTTGGGGGCGGGGGAGGAGGCCTAGGGGAGGGAGACTAGAGGAGGCAGAAAAACCGAAGTGTCAGACTCAAAGCTATTAAGCCCATCAGAACGGAACAACCGCTCAGGAAGGTGAATTTCTTGGCTTATAAACTTTCTCATTGCTCCTCTGTGCTTTGGATATGCAAATACCCTTGCCGACTGATAGCATGGAGGAGGGAACAGCCTCCTAATCCATCCAAAGTCTGGCATGGGCTCCGGAATCTTATCAGAGTGCTCTAGGTACATGTAATCAACCTGAGTGATGGCAGGCCCTTGAGGTAACTGTCAAACCTCCGAGCCCTGTCTTGGGGATCAGAAATGGAAAGGGAAGCCCCGCACCTACATTGCTAGTACATAAGCTCCAGGTAGAGGAACTTAAATCTGGTGTAGGTGTCCAGACACGATCAGGCAAGGGCACGCGTGCAACAATTATTTGTATGTTTAATTAGTGTCCAGAAAGAGCCTCCACTGGGACTGAGGTTCCCCGCTCCGGCCTGGCCTCTGCCTGATGTGTGACATCGGGCACAGCTGACATCTCTGGGTGTGTTTTTATAACACACAACAGTGCTCTCTAGACAAGCTGCGATCTGGCTGCTATTGTCTCACCTGTAAAACCAGATAGTCTCTGAAGTCTCTTCTAGCTGTAAAATTTGATGTTATTAATATATCTGTGAATCATCTATCTATCAATGTACATTTGTTTGCTGCTCAACTAACTCCTGAGCCACTGATAACAGAAGTTGACTGTTTTTATGGTTCTCAGATAAAATATAGAACACCTGGTTAGCTTGGAATTTCAGAGCAACAACAAACACTTTTTTAGTATAGGCATGTGCCATGCAATATTTGGGATAGATATTTGGGACGTTAGCCAAATGTGATCATTTTAGCTGCTTGTCTTCTATCCTCCAAATACTGGAACCTTTTGGAGGGATGGGAACTGGGTCTTAGGCATCCCTGGAATGCCTTACAATTGTGTCTGTCAGGTTTTTGGATCTCACAGACTAGACATTATTAGATTCTTTTGGAGGGGAACACAACTTTTTATTTTGGTAAATAAAGGCATTTATAACCACCATCACTTTACTAAAGAAAAGCCAGTTAAACATTAAAAACTATGAGATGAATTCTCATTTTATGTAATTGTATGTGACTATATAATGATAATTTATATAATTTATAAATCACTTAAAAATTTTAACTATACAAAATATTCATCACATTGTCCTTTTGTTTATCTGTTTCTGAGGCAACCAGGTGATGCCTCCAACCAGTTTGGGACTGCCCCGCTGACCCACTGGGTTTATTTGAAGGCCTTGAAAGGCTTTTTGACTTTTTTGCTTTAGCTGCCAGAAAGCTCCGTGCTAAACTGGAGCTCAACTGCTGCAACTATTCTCTTCTCTCCCTTGATTCCTTGGCCCCTGTGCTTTCTTCCAGGCCCTTAAACCTTTCAATGAGTGAATTTTCACTGTAAGTTGTCTCAAGTACTTCAGAAGCATAGAAATTATTTTTCAAAGTCTTGCATATAATAAGACCTCAATAAATGATGCTGTTGGCAAACCAGAGATGAATATTGAGTGGTATCTAATTAGTTTACTTTCTGAAGGTTTTTTTTGTTGTTTTTGTTTGTTTGTTTATTGAATTCTTATTTATTTCTCGTTCTTAGAAATTTACATCTAGAAAGGTAATCACATCTTTTAGTCCAATTCAGACCTACCAAATTAGGATTTGGGGGGTAAGATTCATGAATCTATAGGAATTCTAGGATCCAAGGTCCATTCATTCCATCCACATTCCATCCCTTGGCATATATCAAAGGGCAATGTATCATTTTACAGGTGCGACAACTGAGCACAACCAAGTGAAGTGATTGTCATATGACTTGGTGGCAGGCGTGGTGAAATGCACAGCACCCAGCTTTCTCAGCAAATTAACTGATTCTATGGGAGACAAGCAGGGCAGGGAAAATTGTTCATCCACTTCTGTTCATATTACATGGTAGGAAGTGGGTGCCTGGTGTAAAGAAATGAAAGGCCTAAGAAGGTTTACCTCAAATTATAGCAACATCCCTCTCCCATCTGTTCTGAGATTTCATAGTTCACTAAGCACTTTTCCCATATCATCTTTCTTTTTTCCCCCTATCATCTTGCTTGGATCCTCACCACAAGAAGAAGATTTAGCAAGATGGTACTGTTTTCCATCTTTACTGATGAGAAAATGGAGGCACAGTCACTGTGTTTATGTGGCCAATAAAAGTGGTAGAGCTGAGACTTGAACGCTTTTTAATACGAAATGTCAGCCAAGTCCGGTAAGGCAGGCCCATGTCTTTGTCATTAAAAACAAAACAAAAGTGATTTATTGTTTCAAAAGTTACACAAGTTCTATTGTACATGATGATTATAAGAAAATTCAAAGAATTCAGAAAAATATAGATTAAAAAGTAGAAGACCTTTTTCTATGAGTTTACATACACTTATAGGTAAGAAATTTTCTAATGCATCAAACTGTATACATTGCTGTGCTTTGTTTTTTTCTTAATAAAATGTCTTGGCCATTTTCCAAAATCCTTAAGTAGAGCTCTACCTCTTTGTTTTTAAATAAGCTATGTATGAAAACAGAATAGCAACGTTCATGTGTAGACTCACTATAGGAGGATATTATATTTACCGCCAATGTGTCAAGTGGAGTTGACCGCGGAAAGAAAAGGATGCTGGTGCTCAGAAATGGGGTAACCTGACTCCCATAGCGGCAGCTTACGAATTTTCTCGGGGGCGGGGGTTCGGGGTGNGCTTTCAGATTCAGAATCACAAATCACCTAACAAGGCCTTGGAAAAGTTATAAAATAGCCCTCAGTTTTCCAATCTGTAAAATGTGTGTTCTATAAGGATTTAAATGCTCACATTAAATGCTCAGAGCAATGCCTGATGATGACGATGATGACGATGATGATGACAACGATGCTAATGCTTGGTCCTGGGATGGGCCTTAAATTTCAAGGTTATCAGAACCAGGAATGGATGCCCCAGGGAATCCTTTTTATTAAGAGCTACCAAATCAGTCTGGCCGTCTGCAATGCCCTCTGGAGAGCGCCCTGACAGCGAGACTCGTTTAGGAAACCTCAACGTCCCAGGCTTTCGTGACCCTTTGGTTCCTTTGGGGGAACCGAGGACTACAATTCCCAGGGTGCGTCCCTCCAGCCTCGCCCCGCCCACGACTATGCGCCTTTCCTAATGCTCGCCAGGCTCCTAGCCCAAACTACAAATCCCAGAAGACATTGCAACACCGCTCCAGTCTCCCGGCTCATCGCTCCCACTTTTTGAGGCATAACTGTGGTCACGTTGCCCGCTGGGAAGTGTAGTTCCTCGGTGACCAAGCACTCTTCCCCTTTTCAGGCCCAAGCGCTGCAATAAGGCTGGCGGACTGGTCGCTCTCGAATGCCGGCTTCTAACGGTCCACCCGGAAGAGTAATCGGGCTGGGAAGACCTCTGGAGACGCGCCTGGGCTCGGGGCCGGTTGTGAATGTGGCTCCCGTTCTAGGCCTTACCGGTGAGAAGGTAGACTGGGAGGAAAGCGGACGAGACCAACTGCCATCCTGGAGCAGGGAGTGAGCCAAAGGGAAGGATGAGTCCAAGTGGAGATAATCGGGGTGGAGATGGAGCGTGGCTCCCTTACTGCGGGGCGGGAGTGAGGCGCGCCCCCCAAATGGGGTAGAAACAGAAGTCCCGGCAACTAAAGGAAGAGGGGCGTCCATATGGTGCAATGGTTTTATGGTTTGGGGCTGATTAGTGGGACTTCATCCCGTGGTCTTACCACCATGGCTAATGGAGGCAGATGGCGCCTCAGGCCTTAGATCTGGAGAGTTCGCTGGTGCAGGAGAGCCCTGGTGGGAAAGTTAGGCAGGGATGTGTTACCCAAGGAGCCTCCGGGCTTGATCTGTGCCTCGGGGACAAACCCTTTCCCAACCCTGTCCTAACTGCTGGTGGTTGGAGCAGATGGAAGGTCTCCAGATACTGTTTGGGCTTCTGGCCAAAGGGAATCCCAGCAGGAAGGAAACCTTTGAACACTCCTGCTCCTCTCAGAGGCCTAAGTAGTGTTTGGAGTGCCCCCTGTGTCCCCATTATAAGCATTACATGCCATTACATGGATGGGGCTATTTAATCTAAATCAAGTCAGTCAGAGAAATTGGTGTCTAGCTTTCTGGTTCTAGAATACTGCAAAAGTGGCTCAGCTCTTAGAAAAATGACTTGAGTAAATAATCGGGATACAAAACAATGTGTAGAATGATCCTATTTTGTAACAAATACATATATCTCCCAACTATGTGGGATGTATCTATGGATATGGATTGAAAAAAAAATCAGAACTATACTGTCAACTATGAACAGTAGTTATTGATGGGTGGTGAGATTACAAATTAATTTTATTCTTTTCGTTACATCGTTATGTAGCATCTGAATTTGTAACGATGAGCACATATTACTTTTTTTTTTCTCATTTTTCCAAAAGAGTCACTGGATGACTCGGTGGTGGTGCATTTTGGAAGATAGGCAGTAAGGCCAACAGCTCTACAGCTTGCATCTGGCCACCTGCAGATTGATTTGCCAGCAATGAGAAGAGGATTGAATTCAAGGGGTGAATTTGGTGTGCAGTCTGCGAGGCTAATGCTTTTTTCCTTCTTCCAGGTTGGAAAGAGTCTATGTTAGCAAGTGTCATACCATGGTATGTGATTGTTTTGATCTGCGTCAGTCTAATCCATGATTCTTTCTAGTTTAAAATGTTGTTTTTCTCATCATCTGATGGAATTAGGTTCCACTGCGTAATTTCCTTGGGATCTGATAACTCACGTTGTCTAGGGGATGAGAGGGAGAAAAATATTGCAGCTGAAATACTACTTCAGCTTTGGATTTGGCCTTGCTTTTTGCTCTTTGTCAGGGTCATTGTTTCAGCATATATGACCTAGTATCCGTGTGTGTGTGTGTGTGTGTGTGTGTGTGTGTGTGTGAGATTATAAAAGAAACTTTAGTATATCCTTTTGTTGTGCTCCTTGTGCATTTCCTGGGACAAAAGCTTTTAAGATAAAGGTTGGAACAGGACAAATAAATACATTTCATGTTTATTTCAATCTTTTTTTTTTTTTCCCTTCCTCAGCTTTTGCCACATTTCTGGTTAAAGATTGACGTTCCTGCATAAGCATTTTCCTGTTAAAATGTCCTTGCCTCTTACAGAGGAGCAGAGAAAAAAGATTGAAGAGAATCGACAAAAGGCTCTGGCCCGTAGAGCCGAGAAATTATTAGCAGAGCAGCATCAGAGCGCCGGCTCAGGCCCCTCCATTGCTGCCCCCCCTTCCCCGTCCAAGCAAGGCCCTGTCCAAAATCTCCCTAGGGATCCTTCTAAGCCAGTGAGCCATGGTGAACTTTTCAAGCAGCAGAATCCCAGTAGTTCATCTCATGGTGACCAAAGACCTCATAATCCCCACAGTTTTCATCTCAGCACCTCAGAGCAGGCAAAGGAGACATGGAAGAGGCAAAATGAGATGTCCACGGCCTGCCCACGTCACAGCCCACCCAGTCAAGTGACTCTCACTGGGCTCTCCCCTCCCTTGGCACAAAGCCCTCCAGGGGCCTCCATCCAGCAGCTCGTGGGTTATGAATCAGGTCAAAGTCATCCTCAGGCTTCACAAGGGACCAAATCGACACCTTTTGCTGACACAACTCATGAGCCTTTGGCCAAAGCAAAGAGTTCCCAGGATACACCAGCTTCTTCCTCTGGACAACCTCCCAGGGATCCTGAATTAGAGGCCAAGGCAGCGAGACCCTCTACCTCCAGGCAGAAAATTTCTGACTTCTTTCATAGTACAGCGCAAGGGACGCCCAGGACAGAGGGAAGAATCCGACAGAAATTGGGGGCCTCACTCCCCAAAGCAGTAAGCTCCCAGGAGGGAATATGTGTAAGGAATGGAGACCGTTTCCAGGTGAAGATTGGGTACAACGCAGAGCTTATTGCCGTGTTTAAGAGTCTGCCCAGCAGAAATTTCGGTATGAGTGCTCAGTCTAGTTCTTTAGATGTTTTGTTTTCTATGTCAAGAGCCTCTTTTAATACAGCAGGTTCCTCATTCATATGAAGAGGGTGCATTGGCACATTCTGTCCATCCAGTTGTTAACATGTTTCTATTTTAGCCTGTGTTTCCTTTTGTCATAGACATCCCTTCAAACAGCTGCCAAAATTGGGGGCTGCCGAATGGCCATATGGAGAATGGATGCATGTTTAATGAAAGGCCAGCTCTGCTGCCAGGTGCTATATATGCATTGCAGCACTTAAGCCTAACAACAATTTTTTGATAAAAGTAGATGTTCTCATTTTAAAGGCATGGAACTGACTCAGCAAGGTGAAGTAACATGCTCAGGTTGGTCTGTCTGAAGGGCAGAGCCAGCATGTGGCCAGCTAGCTGCCATGCCTCAGTGCACACTCCTTCTCATACCTGAGCTTTGCCGGACCACACTGGGTCTCAGAGAACTTGGATTCTCGTCCCACCTCTGTCTTCAGCCCTCGTAGGTGAGGCCCATAGCATCCCAGGGCCTGACTTGAATTTCACAACATAAAAAGCATTATCCTTATTTATATTTGCTATTTGTCCTCCACAAGGATTTTGTAAATCTGGGGGCTTGTCAGTCACCTGTTTTGAACTTAGCATTCATTCATTCATGCATTCATTCGTTTGTTAAACTTTTATTGAGTGTCTAAGTACAAATTATAACAATAGTTGTCAACCTCACTGGACAGACCGAGTACTTTTGTTTCATTTCAGATCCTGCCACCAAGATGTGGAATTTCAGCATGAGTGACTACAGTGCCCTGAGTAAGTAGGTGTGTCGCCACCCCTCATGCAGGAAATACTGGAATTGAAAAGGTTCTCGGGAGCAGCAGACGTGGTCTAGCTTGTGCGCTCCATCCCAGTGCTCTTCTCCCTTCTCACTGTGGCCAGCCTAGTGAGTCAGCTCGTTGGGTGAAAGTCACTGGTAATATTAACAAAAGTTGCCACTTAGTGGAGCCTGCTACATTCCGGGCTGTTTTAAGCCCCTTACATAGGCTAAGTCTCTTATTCCTTATAACAACCATTTTACAGATGGGAAAACTGAGGACTGGAGAGGCTTTGTAACTAACATAGGGTCACACAGCCAATAAGTTGTGCCACTGGGATTTGAACCCAGACAGCCTGACTTTGGAGTGCATGTTCCCACTGGCCCGCTGGTTCCAGCCATCACAGGCAGCCATGCCAGCCCCTGCCCCCAGGATGGCTTACAGTTCAGCAGACAACCCAAATGCTCATAGCTCTCTATGAGGCTAGTTAACTCGAGAGTGCAGGGAGAGGGCGTTGCCCGGGCAGGCTTCAGCCAAGGCCAGATCTGGGGAGGCCAGGTCAGGATGGCATAGGGGCCCCTCTGTCTTCTGAGATTTTGTTGACTGTCCTACTCCAGAGTTTGTTACCTCCTGGTGCCTGAAGCCTGTGTCTCTTCCCCGCATGTTCTCATCTCTCTCAGTAGCCATTTCAATGTCCTTTCTTCCCTCGCTTCCCCCAGTTCAAAAAGGAAAAAGATGATGCATGGTGAGGTCACTCTTCCACAGATTTGGGACATAAAGTAGAATTCTCTGGAGCACCAGTTCAGTTTCTGGGGGGTGATGGGACAGCTCCCTGCAGAAGTGCCTGTTTCTCTCCTTGGCCTTCATCTCTTAAAACGTATGGTATTAGGGGGTTTCCTTTTCTTTGGTATCTGCTGGTCACCTTTTTGGGAGGCTCACTTTTGCTATTATTTTAATCCATTTGTTAGGTGTTGGGAGGGGTAGAGCCAGTCCTCTGGGTTAGAATTACAGGACTTGAAAGCTGGTGTTCTCATGGTTGTGCAGATAAACCAGTGAATTCCACTGTCAAGATTTTGTCTGTTTTATCATCTTTTTACTCCTGTTCTCTGGCCTCAATGCATGATGACCGTGTGACTTCTGCGTTTGCAGGTTCATTTAGGCTTTTTGTGTGGTGTAGTTGCTTTTGGTAATGCTCCACATATTTTTTAAGAACCCATTTAATGGGCACAAAAGTCTATATAGCTTTTAAATGAATTTTACTGATTATGAATTGTTTAGCTCCTTACCAGTGTTTTGTACACTTGATCTGCTGTCCATCGAGATATACCTTAAATGGTCTTAATGATTATGGATTTGTGTATTTATCTTTCTTTTTAAATTTTCAGATAGATTCGTGATTGTTGTCTTCTTAGTAGATTATACTTTTTATCAATATAATATATAAAGACAGTCTTTGTCAGTCGTTCTGTCATTTTGGGTGTACGTCTGGATTCTGCTTTTTTAACCCCACCACACACTCATGGTAGAAAATATGGAAAGTATATCAATGTGCAAAGAAAAGAAATTATCCCCCATAATCTCCCCACTCAGTTAACCACTACTAACACTTCGGCTTTGCTTCTTCCAGCCTTTTATCTATGTATTAAAATATACAAAATTTTATATACATAATGTAATTTTTATCTTACCTTTTTTCATTTAGTATTTCAGCATTGCGTTTTTATTTTAATGGTGAATGTTAACAGTTAATTCTGAGTGATAAAAATGTGGGGGTCCACTATTGGACCACTTTGACCTGCAAAAAAATGATTTCATATTGTTGAACTTAACACTTTTTTTGTCTTTTCCAAAATTTCTTCCTAAAAACAGTTAATGGCTATATGACATTCCATTGTATGAGTGTGTCATAAATTGCTTAAATCATTTTCTTCTATTTTATTGTAGCTTTTTTTATTTTTCAATTACAGTTGACATTATCTTATATTAGTTTCAGGTTGATTTTGTCTGTCTTAATTTGCTCCCAGTTTTTTTTCCGAATTAAAGCTGTAAGAAACACCGTTGTCCATAAATTTTGTATTTTTAATTGTTAGTTGGGAGAGATTCCTAGAAGTTGAGCCATTCCAATCACTTTTTGCGGCTCTTTCTATATATTACCACCTTGTTTTCCAAAAGGTTTTGTTCCCAGCTAGCAATACAGATACCTATTTTTTTCATCTTTTAAGTTCGATAAGTAAAAAAATTGTTTTTTATTTCTCTGATTATTTAGAGTTGAACATTTCTTCAAATGTTTAGTAGTCATTTTCCCCCCTCCTTTGACAAAGACATCTCTATCTTCTTATCTTTTGTGGTCTTGGTATTTTTTTTAAGTTTGAGCTCTGTTTATTTTTCTTGGAATTATCCTTATTCAATTTGCCTTTCAATTATTTTGTGTTTTTTGACAGTGTAGTTTTATGTAGTCAAATCTATTAGCCTATAAAATACATCAGGAATAGATAAAATAGGATACAAAACTGTGCTTCTGTGGCCTGACAGTCCTTTGTCTGTTTCCGTTTTCCAAGCAGAGAAGTGGCCTGGAAATAGGATTAAATGGGTAATTTCTGGTGTGTTGACTTTAGTGGCTTCTCTGACACAGCAACAGAAATTATCTAATACATTTACTCATTCTGGTGAGACCCCTCTTCCTTCTGTTAATTTCTGACTTCTGAGTGTTTTAATTTAACAACTTAAGAAGCAGAAGAGTTATGTTTCACAAATACTGAAATTCCCAAAGTCCCAGCTAAAGCGCACTTGTAAACCTTGCCCATCCAACTGTGCCTTTTCTCGCCCACCTGCCGGACAGAATTCCTCTTGACCCTGTCCCTGCCTTCTCCTTGGCCTGCCTGAGCTTCCCAGGGCATGTGAAAGTCGTCCACCTCGTCACGTCTGTCCTTCTCTTCTTCGGCAGTGAGAGCAGCCCAGCGCCTCTCCACGGTCACCCTGAAGCCTTTGGAGGTGGCTGGCGGTGTAGCCCAGACCAGCCTGCCGTCAGCGTCCTCCCTCGCCTTCGTGAAAGGGCAGTGCGTGCTGATCTCCCGGGCCCGCTTCGAAGCAGACATCCCCTTTTCAGAAGAGCTGGTTGCACTGTTTAAACAGATGAATTCCAGATATTACGGCAAGTAATTGGCCTCTCTGCCTGATTCCCAGGATGCATAGTGGTCTGTGATCGCAGAGCAGGGTGTTTTTCTCTCTGTTTGAATATTTCAAAAATGACTCTCTTGGTAGAACCTTTGGGATCTGCTCCTCTTAGTGTAGAACGGTGATGCCTAAATGGTCCCAGGTAGTGGACATAGAGTGGGGCCTGCCTTGTCCTTAAAGGTCTCCCGAAAAGAAGACCCCACAGTTTTCCCCAGGCAGCTGGTCAGTGTCTTCTTGGTCAAAGTAGCTAAGTTCCTGCTTCAGCCATTTAAACCTACCTGTTTATATTTTGTCCTTAGCAGAGCCCATGGCATGGCAACCCACTGCAGCAGGGGCTGCAGCCTACGCTGTTGCCGGCGACTCACGACAGCCCAGCTCCAGGTTGAGCTGTTGTTCAGCATCTTAGCTGTAGAGGGCAGTGTCACTGGCCCTCATATGTGGGATCCGAACCGGGGCCCTCTGGCGTCCCAAGCCAGTTCTTAACCATCGCGCCACTCGGCCGGCCCCAGAACTGGGCTTTTAAGGCAGGCTGTGTGACCATTCCAACCACTGCTGCTTGGTCCCATGTATAAAATGGAGTGAAGCTAGTGCCCCGCTTAGAGCACAGTGAGGAGATGGTGCGTGTGAGTCTCTCGGCACCGTGCCTGGCTTTAGGAAGCACTGAGTAAGGATAAACTGTCGTCATCCCCGGTCTTAGAAACTCGGCATTTCTGACCTGCTGGCCCATCCCCAGGCACATCCCTGGAGCACAGTTTGTCACCATCCTTACAACCCAGTATTGTCGCCGTGTCTGTTTGTGTTTCCTCCTGAAGTCTCTGAAAACATCGAGGGCAGGTACCCCCAGTGCAAGGCACAGGACCAGCCACGTCACCCGAGCTCACTGGGGGTTTGTGCAGCCGGGGAAGGACTCAGTGTGGTGCTGCAGCCAAAGGGCAGAGTGTAATATCTGCTTGTTTGTTTCTTCTCATTGCAGACGTCAAGACCAGGAAGTGGAACTTTCTCTTGGAAGAGCACAATGAACTAGGTGAGATGCCCACCTTGCTTGTTTGATAGCATGCTATTGTTAAGCTTTAATTATTTGCCTTAAATTTAACGTATTTTAAAAGAGCCTCCTCCTCCCTCTGTTGCGGTAACGTCACATGCTGTGTGCAGGACAAGTAAAGGCAGAGCTGTTCTCAGGCAGCTGCATCCCGTCTGCTGAGATGGGGGCTTTACAACAGCCCCAGTGGACACAGGGCCTCTCCCCCCATCAGGGAGAGGTGGCACCAGTCAGATTCCTGAGGTCGCGAAACCTCCCCCCCATCACAGAAGGATTAGAAGTGAGGGTACGTGGACTTTGGGGACCAGAGGTGAGCTAGGATTGCTCAGCCACGAATCTACTTTAGACTCGCTCTACGAAGAGCCCCTCTGTTTACTTCTATTAGAACCAGACGATCAGCCAGAGGCGAAAGCCTTTAATGAGCACTTTGGAGACCAACCAAGGGAAGTGATGTGTGTGCAGACAAAACTACAAGGAGAAGCCAGTTTCTTCCTCTGTGCCCTGCTTGGGTAGGGCAGTGAATTCCAATGTGCCTGAGAAAGGGGGACATGGTCGTAGCTCAGCCTGTCCTAGAATGCCAGCCTGTCACCTGTCTTCCAAGCTATCATGGTTCTGCTGTGGCTACGCAGCTGGCACAACTCATGTTCCTGTCGCTTGACCCCCCTGAAGCCTTGTCAGGCCTCCCAGGCAGTGGTGGGACCAGCCAGGCCAGGGGAGATGTGATCCGGCCCGGGAGCTCGAAATCATTGGCCGTCTTGCCCACCAGGCTCAGGCTTTAAGGAGGAGGGAAAAGCTGGGTTTCTTCCCTGTCTCCTTATGTGACTTACTATGCGACATCAGGTAGATAATTCAACATTCTGGTTCCATTTGTCCCTTTCGTAAAAAAAGGGGTGTTTAATCCGTATCTGCCCTACTACCAGAAATTAAGTTCAACATAAGGGAAGAGCTTTTGATTCCTTGAGGAAAGACTTGTTGCAAACTCAAGGTTAAGGTTGGCTATGATAGGGGACCTAGTATCAGGAAACACTAGCTGAAGCACAAAGGATGGCTAACATTGATCTGAGACTCCATGGCTGCTGCTATTTGGAACTTGTGATTCAGAGCGAACCATTTAGCCAAAGCTGAAGTTTTCTGATGAGTTTTTCTCTCTTGCCCCTTTGTCTTTCAACCACAGAAAGACATATAAATATGTTAGTTATAAAGGCTTGACTTTCATAGAAAGACAAAAAGCAGGATACTTACAGCATTAGCAGATGAATGTATAATAATATTGAAAAACCGTGACTCGTGACTCACATAGCATTCTATGATTCCAGATCTTTTGTGGGCCATAGGCTCTTTGAAATATCTGCTGAAAATGATGGATTCTTTATCCAAAAAAATGCACATAATGGCCACTCTTAAAATGTTGCATTTGGTATTAATTACATCATGGATCTGGAGTTAAGAATTCTAGAATTTTAGGGTTCAGTTTGCTTTTTTACACGCTATCTTGTCACTACAATGTCTTGTGGAAGATAAGACTGATTTTCCCCCCCTCATAGAGTGGGAAAAGCTTGGACCCAGAGAAAGGAGACCGTGTTTTTCCTTATTGGGAGCATCACAGGGTTGTGATAAAGTCAGTGACAAAAATCAGGCTGAAATTGCGATCTCAAGTTTGTAACGTGACCCATTTGGAAATTCAGAAGCCAGATGCACAAGCTAAGTGGCCAAGGCATTGCGGAATACCGCAGTTCCGGCTTAGCTCCAATTCCGCCATTCGTGGCCTTTAAACTGGGGGATCTGCGCCCCTCCTCATTCCTAGGGCTGAGGAATCCCTAGGGTTCCTCGTGTGTGAAGCTAGATCATTGACCCTGGGCTAGTGAACATGTGCCTGTAAAGATAATTAAAAGCGACAGTAAGACCTGAGTATATGAATGCTCACTGATGACATGTGACAGTTGTTTTCTCCAGGTTAGGGGGACCTAAGAGCTTTCCCCCTCTGTCTTTTCTAAGTGACTGTGAGGCCTTTCCCCACAGTGAAACTGGCATAAGGCCTTCTGTTTTCCCCTGACTGTCACAGCCCAGAAGGGTTCTGCGGCCCCCTCAGTGATCTTGTCTTGTCAGCTGCTATTTGAAAACATTCACATCTCTGCTGCGTGGCTCAGTGGTGATCTGCCTAGGAGCCGTTTTACAGAAACGACTTCTAGATGACTCATGAGCCAGACAGCACATTCCTGTCACCTCCTGGCTGGTGAAAAGGACAATAGCCATAGTCACTGACGGGCGACTGGGGGCTTGCTCAGAAACACACCCAGGTGGCTGACCTAGCAGCATAGGATTTTGGAGACAGTTGGTAGGAAACAGAGTGGAGGCTGTTTTTTTTCCCTCTTGAGCGGCTGAAAGAGCATAATGCTTACAAAGCACCACATTTCACACCAGCTGGATTATCAGCCATTTCTTAGTTTTCATCAGGTGAGTTCTGAAGATCACTAGGATTAAAACGAAAATGGTTTCTGAAAGCACTTAGAGGGTGCAGCCTCCTGAAGTGTGCAGAAATCAGCATGCTCACATTTAATTTGCAGGCATAAAATGTGTTTCTGCATCAATATGGACAGTCTTCTTTTATATTGAAGCTGTCAGCCTTACCTAATTCCTTATCCTGGTGAAGCTGTTCATGCAGACTATTTCCAGAAATAACTGGTACATATATTTAGTGAAGGATGGAAATGGATTTAAATGTATTGAAAATACAAAGCAATTTAAGGGACCAATAGATGCCTCAGCCCTCCATTTTTTTCACATCAGTGTTTGCAGTGGCAGCCAGTTGATGGTGTGGCAAAAGGCTTTTGTAATACCTTGTGAAGATAGGCAGAAAAAAACATGATCATATGGAATAGAGAACTAACAACCTTAGAATTTCAAATAATATTGGGTAGAAATGAAACATACCCAGTTTCTCTTTACCGAGGATAATTATCCCCTCAGTGAGTTACCATGACTCTCCCAGGGTGCTCCTGAAAATGTAAAGGATAAAGAGCACTTGTGGACCTGTAAACAATGGTCACTCTTCTAATTAGGTTTTTCAAAAGACAGTACTAAAATGGAAGAACACGTAGAACGCTACAACCCATAGGGCAGCAGACTGTAATTAGTAGTTTAATGATAATTCTACCATCAGCCATCTCTAGGACTTGCGTCTTTTCTCTAACGTTGTCATTTTTTAACTTGTCTTCCCCTGCCACCCTCCAAGTGTATGTTTATTTGTATCTCTGGTTTATTCTTTTTCTGTTTCTCGATGGAATAAGTTTTCCCCCCTCTTTAATTTTAAAATCAGCTAAGGCTAAATTCTTTGAAAGAGCAAAATCAAGGAAATTAATTTGCTCTCATTGCCATGTAGATATCAAGTGATTTCTTTTTCCCACTTGGGTTAATGGCCTCTGAGTAGAAGATGAGATTTCTCCATCCATTAGATAGAGGTCTGGGACCAGCACACTTGGGAGGAAAGTAAAAACCCCCAAATATAAATTTTAATGGAAAGAGTCCGAGTCATGGTCACAGTTAGCAATAGTTTAGACTTTGAGCTTAGCAGAGGGTGGTAAACATTTTTGTAGAGGGCCAGATAGTAAACATTTTAGGTTTTGTGGGCCATGCAGTCTTTGTCCCAACTACACGACTTCACCGTTATAGCGTGAAAGCAGCCGCAGACAAATAGGCACAGCTGTGTTCCAGTAAAACTATTTACAAAAACAGGCAATACGCCCATTTGCCCCACAGGCCTTCACTTGCCAACACCTGTTTTAGAGGCTAGGTAGGGAGCTAGCAGGCCACCTCCAGACTAATGGTTTTCTAGCTGCTTCCCCGCTGAGATCAGTACTGTAAATCTCACCTCTCTCAAGGGGATTTCATTATTCTCTTATGGAAATGGTCAAAAGTGCAGGACCACAGGCACTGTTACACTTGGCCTTCGCATGGACTCTGCCCTTTGTTTATAGATAGCACTGCCATCTGTCCTCATCTTTCTCAGAAACACCTAACAGCTTCTCTGCACAGGCACAGCGCTTCCTTACCTGTGACAGACAGCAGGTGACTTAGTGTTCTCTGAGTCCTCAAACATCAAAACCAAGATAAAACATAAAGACAATGGAAACAAGATTTATTCATTGTAAGTCTTGCTTTTTCTGGGCTGATTTTTTTTTTTTATAAGAACATGGGTCTTTATTTATTGGAATGGGCATACTAGGATGATTTTTAAAATTAGGTTAAAAAAAGATGGGTGACAAAAACACTTTATAGTTCTTTCCAGTGTTTGTATAGTGTAGAAAATCAATTTGGCATTACTGATTGCCCTTTTATTTGCAGAAATTAAGGAATAGAGAGGAATTAAGGAATAGAAATTAAGGAATAGTTCTCCGGGATGCACCTGTCGGCCCCTGATTTTCTCTCCCATTTCTTTTTTGAGAAGAAGCAGAATTTCGGCCATTGAACTTCGTAGTTTGAAGCCCCTTCTCTTTTCATGAGACCTCTTGGACATAACACTCCAAGTCACTTCTTCTTCCTAGTTGAAAGGGTGCGCTGCCTTGCACAAGTTCAGCTGAGTCCTCTGCCGAAGACACTCACCCTAGCCTTCGCGTCTCAGATGGAGAAGACGTCTCTCTGTCCCACGGCAGACATCCCTGAAGCAGACCTCTCTAGAGTGGACCCCAAGCTCGTGTCTAGTCTGCTGCCCTTTCAGAGAGCTGGAGTCAAGTAAGTTCTTTTTTTTTTTAATTGGGGAATTGGGGGAGGTGAACAGCGCTGGGGAATTGGGGGAAGGGGAACAGACAAGTTGCTGTTGTTTCCTTCTTCAGTCTAGTCGTGGAGGACGTCGCTTCACTGGCCCATGTTGGTATTATCATTGCGCTCTTCCCGGGCAGATCAGTCGCTGGCTTCTGGACGGCCGCTCACAGCGGCTCTTGGCAGCTCATACTGGCTGCCGGCTGCTCATGCTGGCTGCTGGCCACACACTGTAGCTTATGGCAGCCCACTGCAGCAGGGGCTGTAGCCTACGCCGTCGCTGGCGACTCACAGCATCCCAGCTCCAGGTGGAGCTGTTGTTCACCATCTTAGCTGTAGAGGGCGCAGCGTCACTGACCCTCATGTGGGATCTGAACCGGGGCCCTGCTACTCAGAGCTGGCGTCCCAAATCAGCTCTTCACCAGTGCGCCGCTCGGCCGGCCCCAGTTCTTGATCTTCTAATTGCTCAGAGTTCATCTCTCCCCACCAGGTGGGTTCAGATGCCCCTTCTGTTATGAATGCTCATCTTTCACGGGCATCTAAAGGCATCTAGGTGTTAAACAACCAGCCGTGCAGTTACCAGAGACAGGTGGTAACCATTGATTTCAAATTCCATGCATTAATCAGGACTCTATTGCAGATGTGCAGAAACCCGACTCAAACTAGCTTAAGGAAAGAGATTTCTCAGGACGTGCGGTAGAAAACCCAGAGTCTGTAGGGCTCTCATCAGGACTTCTGCCCCTTTCTCAGCTCTGCTTTCTTCTTGGTTTGCTTTATTCTCAGCCAGACGCTCCTCAAGCGTGGCAGCTGTGGCTGCCAGGGGCTTGTCGCTCTCGCCCATCAGCTCGGCAGCCCAGCGGAAGCACCTCTGTCCTATGGGTCTGTCACTGAAATGTGTGAATCCTGGTGCTGACACTGGACCAGCCAGTCACTGCGCCAGGGGGCCCTGGAGTCTTGTTGGTGAGGCCAGGTGATAGGCTGCCCCTGAGCAGAGGGGAGGGCCTGCCCCACACTTATTACTTGGACTGACATGGGAGGTGGTGGTTTTCCAAAAGAAAGTCAGGGTGCTCTTGTTATAGAAAGAAGAAAGATAAACCCATGTGCTGACCTGTCATTTTTTCCGGTTTATTGGGAGAAGCAACATCACAGTTTGAACTTGCTTTCTAGTGAAATGTGGGAGATCGAGGAGAGGAAAGAGGGGTCTTGCTAGTCCATCCAGAAATAATAAAAGCTGGACCTGTGACTAGGTGGTGTGGCTGGAGAAGAGGCCTGAGCAAGAGAGGGAACTAAATTGTCAGTGGTACTGAGGACTGGAGACAGCCTGCCTGCATGCAGCCCGCTGTGGTGTGCGGTTGAAGTGCGGCTACTGTCTCACACAGGGTTTTGGTGGGTGTGTGGCTTGGGCACGGTCACACCTCACTGCAGTCCCACGGCCCCAGCCCTGCTCGCACCCTTTTCCTCCTCTCCTTCCAGCTTCCCTCTCTCTCAGTAACACTCTTTGCCATTTCAGTCCTTCGTCTGTTGTGATGTCCTTTGGGTCCCCTTTCACTCGGGCTCAGGGCGGTTTTCTCCTTTGCTCTTTCTCCATCTGGCCCCTTCATTAATGCTGAGAGAGCTTGTCCACCCTGCCTTGAGTGTCAAGTTCTTCCTGGCTCTGGCAGAGATCCTGGGGTCGGTGTGGTGCATGCTGACCTTGCCAGCTAACCTGCCTCCACGGAGCAGCTTTGTGTGTAAGGCTCCCCAGGGCCCGTGTGCATCAGACCAGAGCATGGCCAGCAGTTTCCATCTTTTCCTCCATGACTCTGAAAGTGCTACTGGTGCTTACTGGTGCCTTTCTTCAACACTTTCTAATTAAATCTAGATTTTACCTTTCATTCTCTGAAGAGGGCTATCAAGTCCATGTTTTTTCGTTTGTTTTCATATGTAAGAACTACAATAAAAAAACTCCCTTAAATTTATGGAGCAAAATCTTTTAGATATACTATATCACCTTCCTCTAATGACTAAATAAATGGTCTCGAGAGAGAGACGAGTGAGTCGAGGCTTAGAAAGGCAGCTGTCTGCCTAAAGTCACTCAGCTCGCAAAAGTGGAGCTGGGGCTTACATCCGTGTTTTTTAAAGGTGATGAGTGCGGTGTTTCTTCTGTTGTGCCAAGCTACCCTGTAGAGGGTGGCATTCAGCTGTGTGATTGTTTCTCTATCATCCAGGTGTTTTCTTTACTTTGTTCTCACTTTTGGCCTTTTTTTTTTTAAGATTTTATTGGGGAGTTGAGGAAGGGGAACATTGTATTTTTCTAGGACCCATCAACTCCAAGTCAAGTTGTCCTTCATTCTTAGTTGCGGAGGGCGCAAGCTCAGTTCCAAGTCCAGTCGCCGCTTTCAACTTAGTTGCTGGGGTCGCAGCCCACCATCCCATGCAGAAGTCGAACCGGCAACCTTGTTGTTAGGAGCACGCGCTCTCACCAGCTGAGCCATCCGGCTGCCCGTTGGCAGCTCAGCTCAGGCGCAGCTCACTGGCCCATGTGGGAATCGAACCAGCAACCCTGTTGCTCAGAGCTCGCACTCTTAACCAACTGAGCCACTCAGCTGGCCCATCACTTTTGACCATTTTGTTCCTTAGCTGGGCTGCCTACCTCAGGGCAGGGAAAGGAAAGACCATGAAATTCAAGGGTCAGCTCTGCTTTGAGAGTGACCAAATGGACTAAACAGTATTATAAATGGTTGTGCTGAGGAGCCCGAAACAGAAGGCCGTCTGGGTTTGTGGCTTGGGTGCTTTCTGTCTGCCCTGGTCACCAGTTTTGTAAATCAGAAAGGGAGGTAAAAACATAAGTTTTCACACTTGCCCGCCCTGCGTCTGCCAGTGTCATGGGCTGACACTGGGAATGGTCCAAAAGATTTACCCAAGGCTGGTGTGCCTAGAGGAGGCGGAGCCTGTTCAGAGAGGTGAGGCGGCACACTGCTGGGCCCCCTGCCTTTCCACGGAAGGAAGATGGTGGCCACGGCCCGAGGGATGCTGGGAGGGATGCGCCCTCTCCCTGGGTGGGCTGTCGTGGCTGCTGGGAGGACAGGTGTGTGCCCTGACACACCTGTCATCTCCATGCGCTCTGAGCCTGGCATGCCGGCCAAGTGCCACCCACAGATCTGCTGCTCCGTCTCCCACCTTTGCCAAACACTGGCCTTTTAAGGATAGAAACACTATTTCCAGACAATTCAGAAAGGTCACGTGCAGCCTAGAATCCTTGTCAGCCATTCCATCTGACAATCCATTGTCAGCTGCTTATTAGAAGAGGTTACATTCTCTGTCTTTACTGTGTGAGAAAGAACCAAAAAGAGCCAGTTGCCTGGTTTCTCCAGTGTCTGAGCAAATGGTCGGGTTTTCAGGAATTCAGATGAGCAAGGACTGGTGTTTGGAACAGGAGACCAGACATCTGGCACTCAGGATCCTTTTAGCTTTTCATTGAGTCACCAGGTGACTTGAGCAAGGCATTTTTACTGTTTGCGTCTCGATTATTTTTCTCCTTTTTGTGGAGTAATGGCTACAAGAGGAACATCCCCCTGGCACTTACATGATGGCATCAAGCACTGTTTTAAGTGCTTTCCATATTAACTTGACTCATCCTTGCAACAACCTCCGGGGTAGAGCCTCTTATTTCCACCTACAGCCGAGGTACAAGGTTAGATGACTTGCATAAAAGTGTACGGCTTCTAAGCAGTGGAGCAGGGCTTCTCACTCAGGCCAGTCGGGCTCCGGAACGGTGGGCTGTGCCTTACGCTCCAGTTGTTAGCACGAGTTGTTGCGCTGGAGGCCGCGGGACCCTGGAGGCTGCCTGCTAGTGAGAACCGGGCTGAGCTTTCTCTCCCTCTCAGACAAACGCCTGCCCCACCCTCCTCCTCCTCTCCAGAACTCTGTCCTTGCTGGTTCCTTCCCTTTGCGCTTAGTATACAATGTCCTCTCTGAGCTTCAGAAAGCCGTATTTTGACCCCACCATCTCTTCTTTCTTTCCTCCCCTTCTCGGCAGGTCTCTCACTTGAACAGTTGCTCCCGTCCATTCCCCTCGTTCGAGACTGTTCCCACTATCTACCTGTCCTGTGCCCTGGGCCTCACCTGCACTGGGCTGAAGGTGTCTCCTTTTATTACAAACTTCCTCCCTTGGCTTCCATGACCTGATTATCTTATAGCTTCTCCCTGCCTTTTGGCCACCATTTCATACTTTCCCTATTTTGACTCTTCTTAAGATTATTATTATCCTGCCCCTGATTGGCTGTTGCTCTTCCCTCTGTGGGGAGCAGGTCTCTTCTTGTGAGCAGGGCCTGTGTTGGCTGGCGCGGTAGCCCACACCGGGCCATGCGTGCCGCTTGGTACGTGGTGGCATGGTGGCAGGTAACTCATGTCCCTGGGACGTGTGTTGTGTCGCTGCCCTGACCTTGTCTGCTTTCAGCTTTGCCATCGCGAAAGGAGGCCGCCTGCTGCTCGCTGACGACATGGGCCTGGGGAAGACCATCCAGGCCATCTGCATCGCGGCGTTCTACCGGAAGGAGTGGCCGCTGCTGGTGGTGGCGCCGTCGTCTGTGCGCTTCACCTGGGAGCAGGTCAGTTCTCTTCATGTTGCGATTTTAACAAAGAAAGTTTTCCTCAGGGTAAGAGGAATCAAGTAACAGCTTGGGGATAGGGCCTGGGATCTGTCAAGATCCTATTTCAGCTGAAGACAGGAAGGGAGGTGAGGGAGCCCCCCGAGGCTAGGCACATGGCTTTCCGACTTAGAATCAGGCTTTTCCTTTAGGGAGGAAAACCAAGGGGTTTCCGAGCTCAGGCTTACCTGTCTATCAGCAGACATTCCCCAGGTCCCTCTTACACCCCTGCTAACAATGCCTTTCATCTGGGCCACACTGAATTTTCAAACTATTGTTACCTCCTTCATTTTCTGTAATCCCATAATAGTCATGTGCAGTTGACACGCTAGATACTAACCCCCTTTACAGGTGAGAAAACAGAACGCAAAGAGGTTAAGCTCCTCACTTACTGCTGATGAGGAGCTGTGCAGAGCACGGGAAGTCACATCTCACGACTTCCTGGCTCGGAGTTTTTGCACCCTGTGGAGGGTGGTGTGGACGGGCGTTCATTGTATGTGGGTACTTCTATGGCTGAAGAATCCGACATGCACTCAGATTTCTTATCATCAGCCTTGAGCTTTGTCTACCCTAAATCCAGGGACCAGAGTGCTTCTGTGAAAGGAATACAAATCCTTGAAGAAGAAGGAAGCCCCAGTTCATCGTCTGCAGCTTTTCCCAGCTTTATGCTACTCATGGTGGCTGTTGGCTTTTTCAGACCTTGGCCTCGTCCTGAGCCCCCAGGAGCCACTCGTGGAGCAGAGGCAGCTCTGTCTGCAGCCTGTCAGCCCGTCAGCCCATCAGCCATGTGCCTGGGCATGCCCTTCCAAGTGAAGAGAAAACAAAACTTTAAAAATGTGTGTTGACATAATGCTGCATTCTTATCCTGTGCTTGTGATCTGAATTCTGCCAGTACCTCTAGAAACTAGTTTATTTTGTGTGTGTTAGATTCCCACAGCACCCTCAAAAATTCTGGGGAAGAATCAGATGATCAGATGAGATGGGAGAAAGAACCAGCACTCCTGGTATCAGAATAGTGTCGGCCCAGGCACGCCAGGAGAGCACCCAAATGCTGACATGGAGGCACCTGGTGGCTTTCTGTTGGCTCTAGGTGTTGGCTTTGGCTAAGGATGGCAAGATTTCTGGAGGGAGCAGGTGGCTTTATAGAAAATATGGATGTAAATGTTTTTATCGTCATCGGTGCCTTCAGTGTACCAAGCTCTGCTAAAAATTCCTTTGTAAAATTTGTCTTAAAACAGTCACATTCTTTCCCTGTAGAAACTTGCTGTCTAGTTAGAGATTACAGAAAGGATATCCACACACACCACAAAGTGACTGCCACTTGCTCGTGAAGGAAGGAAGTGTCCTGTTAGTGGAAAGTGAAGGGGAGCAGATGGATGAGAGGAAGACAGAAGCGTTCATGGGACAAGGGTTATAGCAAACACAGGAGGGACAGAGACCAAGTTTGTTTTTCAGGGAGCATTAACATTGGTCCACAACGAGAGAGTGCAATTGATGGGCTGGCTGGGGTCATGGCTGGCAGCTGCTGGGCCTGATCATCATGTTGGTTTTGTTCTCTCCTGTTACCCCCAGGCCTTCCTTAAGTGGCTGCCATCTCTCAGCCCAGACGACATCAATGTCGTGGTGACCGGCAAGAACCGCCTGACAGCTGGCTTGGTCAACGTTGTCAGTTTTGACCTTCTGAGCAAGTTGGAAAAACAGCTGAAAACCCCTTTTAAAGTTGTCATCATTGTAAGTGACTTGGCAGAGTCTTTAAGGACATTATCTCTGTGGAAACTTTCTTCTTAAAAACCCCAAGAACTTTCATGTCTGTACTCTCATAGAGCCCCGCTCGGCCTCTAGGGGAACAGAAAACATTGTCTTTGTTTCGTGGGGAGCTGACATTTCATCTCTCTCAATTAGCGTGTCTCAGCCCTGGCTGCATATTAGAATCTCTTGGGGAGCTTTTTGAAAAATGTCTGCTGTGGGGGTTGCTAGCCCATCTCTCCCCGACGTGAGTTCGTGGAGGAGGCCAGCCTGTGGATTCTAGATGCCCCCTCACTCCAGTCACTGCAACCTGGACAACAAGGCCGTGTGCTGTCATCGGGGCCCTCGTGTCAGAATGTCTCAGACACGCAGTGCAAACAGTTAATAAGTTTTCCTTCAGCCAATATGCAGGCACTCCTTCTCCCTGCCCCCGAAGAAAGCACTTTTTACTCTAGTTGTGTTTTTAAAGATGGGTTCACTCGAGTCCTGCTCCCGTATATGACAGCTCATCTTCCAGTAACTTGCCTGCCTCCTCTTAGTCTCTCGAGAGACTTGGTGCCGATACTCAGTGTGTGGCATGGCTGACAAGTAAAAACTGTGAAAGGTATGCAGTTTCTCCCACCCCAGGCCAGGGAACCGCTAACAAACATTCAGAGGCCAAGAAGTGTGCGGTGGATGCTTTCCAATGAAAGCTTACCTTCATTTTTCTCTTTGGAAAAACATTGAAACCTGATGCCTCCAGACAATGTGAAAGGTTCTTCTTTATTCAAATGTGCGAATTTTAAGAGCCAGTGGTATTTTCCTTCTCTTAAAAATAGAGTTCTCTACTGGCCATGGAGAATTCTTGATGCTCAAAATCAGAGTGCATATCTTCTCTACAAGGAGAGAAAGGAAAGAGTTTTTAGGAGGCCCCCAAAAAGTAGAGCCTCTGAGTCGCATATGTCAACAAGATTGCAGTAGAGACTCCGTGCTCTGGGTTTCCCAGCACGGGGCTGACGGTTGGGGGCGGGGGAGTACCAGCTTCGTGCCCCACACAGTGCTACGAATTAGGGTGTGGAAAAAAGACAATCAGCCCCCGTCCTCCAGGGAACCACAGTCTAGTAGGACAGACGTGCACAGATCATCAGACTATGATTCAGTGCTTTCATAGACATGTGGACCAAGTATCATGGGAGCTCAGAGAAGGGAAGGAGAAGTCACAGTTCCTGATCACGGGGATCTCTGATTATGATTTGGACATGAGGATCATACTGTATTTGTAGCATAAGCAAACTTAAATGTTAATTTTTTTCAAAGCTAGAAGGGTCATGAGCTTGGAGGAGTCATTTCTGGTTTCACACAAACTCAGGTGTGGTTTTGAAAAAATATTAGTATGCATGTGAAATGAAAACATTGAAAGAAGTACCCCAGGATGATGATGATGGTTTTTACAACTTGTAGGAGAGATGATGCCTTCATTTCTTATTTGCCTGTATCAGGTACTTCACATATAATCACTGATCTTCCCGATGGTCCTTAAGGCAGATATTATTCCCATTTCAGAGCTGATGAGACTGACAACGTGAGAGGTGACATAATTTGCCCATAGGCTGGAAGCCAGCAAGATAGAGAGCCATTGATTAAAGCCGATTGCATCTGGCTTTAGAATTCATGCCTGTCTGTGTCCAACTCAATACATAATCTGCCATATGAATTTTGGCAAGCTGCCTACCACCACTGACGGCTTGTTCTTCAGTTAATTAAGATCTCTGTCCTCTTCTGACTTCAGAGAAGTGTTGTAGGAAGGAATGAAGTGATGGTTCTGAGATGTCACACTTTTGTAATGAAGATACAGGCCATTCCTTGTGGTTAGTTATAATCATGGTACATTTTTACCCGTTGGTTCAAAGGGTCTGTTCCCGTCCATATCCTCTGGACTTTGTGCTATTTTTCTCTATAAGCCCCATTTTCTTGGCTGTCATACAGGTTCATCATCAGACAGGAGTATGAATGTTACACTCCAGGTTTCTGGGAGTAGAAATAGTGACATTTGAGGATGCATCTCACACTCCCCTATGTTGTGTTTTGGAGATCGTTTTTTTTTTTTTTTTTTGGTTCATTGTAGCCGAAATGGAACCCAGGGTTCTGAGGGCTTTATGTGTGTTAGTTTGCATAAGACCTAGGACAACCCAGGATATGAGGTACTGGTATTATACCCATTTTACAGATGGAGAAACTGGCACTGTAGAGAGGTCAGGTAGTTGCTCAGAGTCACATAGCAAGTAATTTCAGTGTGTTCCAAAATAGAAATTTTCTCCCTAAACACTAAGAATGTATTCGTTGCTCATTTAGCTTTGGAAAAGATGACATAGTCTAGTTTGCTTAGGCACAGAATGCAGAGCCATAAATCACCAAACTTCATGTTCTAGACATGGCAGTCAGTCTCTTAAGGACGGGAGCCATGTCTTCCCTTCTCCAAGTTCCCACAGTACTTGTCACACCTGCCTCAGTGACAGCACTTACAGCATCTTCTGATCAGTCGTCAGTGTGGTTGCACAGCGAGCCCCTGGGGGTGAGGGCTGGGCCCCAGTGCAGGACACACAGTGGGTCTTCAGCACACTCTGCTTCAGTGCCGTGCGGTCAGGTGTGTCTTACAGAGCAGAAGCCACCTTTCAGCAGTTTGTTCCGTGTAGCCTGTGAGGTGAGTAGGGCAGGGGAGTCGCTAACCCCATTTTATAGGTGGAAAACTGGCCCAGAGAGGTGAAGTGGCTTGCCCAGAATGGAGTGGGAGAAGGTGACCCAGAACCCGGGTCTGTACCCAGGCCCACCACTGTCTCCTGGAATGAGAAAGCTGAGGGAGGCATCCTCAACTCAGTGCCATGCCAGGATCACGCTTAACGTGGGCTCTGTCTCTGTCCACTCAGCATTTGACCTTGTTCACCTATGTGACTGTTTCTTTCAGGATGAATCCCACTTCCTCAAAAACATTAAGACTGCCCGCTGTCGCGCAGCTATGCCTCTCCTCAAGGTACGTCCTGCTGAGAACAGCCTGGAAGCCCGAGCCCACTCGGCTCTGAGATCCTGTGTAGTTTGCTCAGGCTGGCAAGAGGTCAAGGCGCACAGGCGCGGCAAGTCCAGGGCTGTGGGCTGTGGGCGTGACGTAGCATCGACTTAGGGCTGGGGTGCTGGATTCATTTTTCTTCCTAACATCTGGCTGAGGAACTCGTGGTCGGTGCAGTCGTCTGTCTCTCTCAAAGGTGAAGACCTGTTGAAAGTCACAGGCCAGGTCTGGACTGTACTCCACATTGTCCTGGGCTCCTCCAAGACAAGACAGAGGGAGGCCCTCCAGCAGCATGTCCTAAACCGCTCAGGAGAAACTGCCTGTCTTCTCAGTCGCTTCTGGGGCAAAACTCTCACGGTGCTGAGGGAGATGAGTTATACAGACTTAGAACCAGGCCGGTAGGTACCAGCAGGAAGCGTCAGCAAAGCTGAGACGTGTCTTATAAGCCGATGCCCTTTTCTTGGGCTGCCTTTTCTGGGGTGGCCTAAACTTGTGCCTGAGCACTTTGGCTGGTTGAGTCCTGGCCTCAGAGCAGGCGGGGTATGTAAACAGGGTAGCTTCACACTTTTATGTAAAAGTGTTCTGTTCTGACATGCGTGAGGTGTAAGCTCCGTGTTTCATCTGCATGCACTTCTGGGTCTGTGTCTTGTGGTCCCACAGAGGGAAGGCCTCTAGATTTTCTTCCATCTTTTTGTAGTGAGCTTTTTCTAAGTATTGGGAAAAAATTGTACAATTAGAAAAGTAGCTTTATCTCTCATAACAAGGTAGAAGAAATCTCAGAGATGACCTGTTGGGGGGATTGACTTTGGTTTGTGTAGACCAGGGGTCGGCAAACTTTTGAGACAGAAGAGCCAATCCTGTCCCTTACAACAATTTAAAAATTATTCAAGAGCCACAAAACAAATGAAATCACCATTATGTGAATAATATCCTTTAAAATTTTTATAAATGAGGGCCGGCCGCGTGGCACACTGGTTAAGAGCTGGCTTGGGACACCAGAGGGCCCCGGTTCGGATCCCACATATGAGGGCCAGTGACACTGCCCTCTACAGCTAAGATGCTGAACAACAGCTCAACCTGGAGCTGGGCTACCATGAGTAGCCGGTGACGGCATTGGCTGCAGTGGGCTGCCATAAGCTACCATGTGTGGCCGGCAGCCAGTGTGAGCGGCTGTCCCGAAGCCGGCAACTGATGTGCCTCGCCCGGGAAGAGCTCAATGATGGTGCCAACTTGGGCCAGTGAAGCAATGTCCTCCACAACTAGACTGAAGAACAAAAGGGCAGCAACTTGTCTGTTCCCCTCTCCCAATTCCCCAATAAAAATCTTAAAAAAAAAAAAAAATATATATATATATATATATATATATATATATATATATATATATAAATGAAACTATGATAGTTTTATTTTCATTTTCAGTTTTACTTCAGGGCCACATGTACGTACCCAAAGAGCCGCATGTGGCTCGCTAGCCGCAGTTTGCTGACCCCTGGTGTAGACTGAGCAAACAAAAGTGTGTGTTTATCTTTTTAAAGCTGCTTTTGTGTTGCACCAGCATTTTAAAACTGTAGCTTTTATTTTATTGTTTAAAATAGAAGCTTTAAGTTGTACATAAACTAGGGAAAACAAATATGCTAAATGTCGGTGAAGCTTATTAGCATTTGCAAATTAACTTGATTTTTCCCACCTTCCTGCAGCACACACACAAGTGTCTGTTCACTTCATATTTGTTTTGTTTTAGGAATAACAAGTAATATAATAATAACAAGTAATATGATACATCTTCCAAAGCAGGATTATGTCATATGCTCCAAACTTAAAAATATAAGTCCTTTACTTAAAGACCTCGATTCTCTGCTCATTTTATCCATATATATTTATGAGTCGGGAACCGTTTATGGACACACTTAAATGTGTTTCCCAGAGTGGTGACCCTTCTCTGGGGAGGCTTTAATACATTTTCTTTTGAAAAAAGTTAATACATCTTGGTACTGTGGTTCCAGTATTACAGCCATAACTAACGTTAAATCTGTTCCCCTGATTGTTTAGACAAAAGAAACTGCAGAATGGGTCGATTATATCATTCGAGGTATAATAGGGAAGCTTCTTGGCCATGAACCTGTTAACGCAGGCATTGCCTGGTCAGCACGCTGGACCACGTGCTGGTTTCTGAAATACATGCTTCTGAGCCAGACCTTTTAAAAGCAGCGTTTGCACCTTTAATATCTTGGGCATATGTCAAAGTGACATATTTAAAAGAACTCTTTTTTAACTGTTAACTAGTACATATTACTCTGCATTTGCTGTAGAACTGGGGTGAATTAACGTTAAAATAGGAGCTGTGACTATAGCCTGCTGTTTATGAGGGTGTCTTGAAGCCACTCTCTTCTATAATGGTGACTTCACACAATACTGGACTGTTAGCAGGATTGAGTGGAGGTGGCGTTGAGGCATTCTGTGTTATGCTGTTAACCAATGCTTTCATCTCTGTTGTATTTTCATCTGGGTTGGAGTTTCTCAACCTCGGCACTATTGACACTTTGGGCTGGATAATTCTTCTTTGTGGGGAGCTATCCTGGGCATTGTAGGATGTTTAGCAGCATCCTGACATCTGCCCACTAAATGCTAGTAGTACCCCCCAGCCGTAACAACCAAAATTGTCTCCAGATATTACCAGGTGTCACCTGGGTGTTACATCTCTCTTCCCCATCTCTGTGGAGAACCACTGACCTAGATACTCTAAGGAAATGAATCTAAATAGTTTGGAATAAGAGAGTTGGGAAGAAGTAAATATACCTTGAAAAGCCATATATAAAGGGGTGAAGGGAATCGATTGTGTTGTGACATATAGTAACTAGACTTTTGGGGTTGATAACTTTGTAGTGTATACAGCTGTTGAATTATAAAGTACACGTAAATATTACATAATAAAGCTGTATGAGGACCTAATTTAATACCACTTAATTGTCCCTCTAACTTGTGCATGTCCTAGAATTATTTTCTGTTCGTTAATATTTTAAGATTTTTCAGCAAATGTGCATGATGAAGTAGTCAGATTATGTCACACAGCCTGTGAGATACTCAGGCCAAGTCATGTCCAGAAAATGTGGGTTTCGTAAATGGTGACAGCAGCCCCATGCAGAGAACACGTTGCTTAGGTTGTAAGAAAATGTCATTGTCCCCTGGGAAGTGTGACACCTCTCTTTCCCCAGAGCAGCATTTGCCTGGGCTACTAAGCAAGGTTCTATTTTTATATGCAAATGTGGTAGGCAAGACAGAAAGCTATAAAGAACATTTTTATAATTGTCTTTAACCCCTCCAACAGTGAAAACCACTGTTAACAGTTGGGTTATTTTTCTAACATGTCAGTATAGGGCAAGATCATAATTGTTAATGGCTTTGGAGTGTTCCATTGCATGGACACATTTCATAATTTAACCTTTAGTGTTAGACATTGTTTTGCTGTTACAAATAATTCTGCAAGTGAACATCATCCATATATTTGTAACTTTCATACTTTGTCCTTATAAGACAAATTTCTGCACTCAGAACTGCTGTGTCGTAACTTAGCCTTTTGATAGATGCCTCTGAGCTCCAGCCTGGCGAGGCATAACCTCTTCATGCCCCCCCAGCCCGAACCACAGGGTCTTTCTCTCTACACGACTCCAGCACCGAAGGTCATCAGTGATCTTCCGTTTTGAGCAGAGATGTATGTTTGGGTTTTCTTTAGCTGTGTTTTAGGTACAGTGCTCTTTACTGTTAAACCAGAATTACAACATTATTAACAGTATCTGATTATTTATTTAGAGGGGAAAAAAACTTCAGAATCCCACAATCCTTTCCTAATAATGATTTCTCTTGTGTGAGCAGAATCCTCTTTATATTACATCTCTATTGATTGGCTAGATGAGATGAGAATATGGTCTAAAACGTATGAGCTTTTTCTTTTTCCTTTTTCTTTAAAATAATTTAAATAGATGCTATATCAAACACTACTAAAGGGTACACAGTGAAAAATAACTTTCTCCACCTCTGATCCAAGTCCGTTGATCTCTCCCCCCAAAGGCAGCCGTAGTTACCAGATTTTCCGATTTTCCTCCGAAAATTAGCCTGTGCCCACCTAAGAACATGCATGTATGTTTCCTCTCTCTCTTCTTAGAGTGTGCTACAACCACAGTTTTGCACCTGCCTTTTTTCTCTTAATGGTGTATCTTGGGAATCATTCCACCTCATTCCTGATGACTTGCCCTCAGTCTTACAAATAGAACTCTGTTGTATATAAGTCTATCATAATATGTATTATCTGTTCCCTTTTGATGGATTTGTACCCAGGCTCTGGCTGTTATGTACAGCAGTGCAGTGACCATCTTTTCATATGCTGTACAAGCAGGGAGTAGAAATCCCAGTTCCTCCGGGTCTAGAAGAGCTGACTCTGCCCCTCTCAGTCCAGAGGAGAGAGGTCTCAGCTGGACGGTCTGCTCTCTCCCCAGTATGACCAGGTTACAGGAGGAGTCCGTGTGGTCCGGCTATTCTAGTAAATTTTCTCAATTTCATCACAGAATCAGTCTTAAAATGAAATTACTGGAATCTAATATTTAAGTTAAAATAGACTGTTTTTTTCCAGAGGGAAAAAAACCCACTTTAGTATTAATTTTAACACGTGTGCTATATTGGTAAAACCTATACACATGTGTTTTGCGTGCCTTGAAGGTCAAAAATGGCATAACTGTAATCAGCTATAATTACACCATTTGATGTAGTCTCATAACATTTTGGTATTTTTGAACCAGTACACCTGTAGTCACAGCCTTCATTCTGTTGTTTTTACCCAAGAACCAGTTACCTTATACGTGGCATCAGAATTCCATTAATATGAAAGCAGCGATACTCGCTTAGCTTGAAAGCACTATGGTTATCATGCAGATCAGTTTAGTAAAAGCAGCGCCATCCAGACTTGTGACTGGAACTTTGTGTCTGTTGGGGAAAAGGCTAGAACCTAGAAGGAACCATTTTTATGTGAAATCTACTGACCTAATTGGAGGCTCAGAAAGGCTGTTTACTGGCAGCGGCCGTCTGTTGATCCTGGGGGCGCCTCTGCTCAACGGTGGTCATAATTATGCCGTTTGTCTTGGTGTGGATTGTTTGTCATGGGAGCAGGGTCTCTCAGGAGCAGAGTGAAGAACAGAACCTCGACCTTCTCCCCAGACTCCAGGCCCTGGATTTCTCCTGAGTACTGAGTTTTCCCTCTTGTTCTCAAGCCTTAGATTTAACTTAGTTCTCAGGTATTGACTCCTTTGTTGATTCTTGGGGTGTGGCCCTGATCCTGCATTTATTCTTGATCTGTGTACTTTTGGCCAGTTGTCCCCAAGCTGTGCTTGCCACTATCCTTATTTTTGAAGACTCTGTAATGACTTCTGAACTGGTTAAAACATGGCTCCAATGTCTCTGCCACATCAGTGCTGACGAGTAACGGGACTCTTGGGTGGTATAGGCTTGACCTTCTCATTGGTGCCTGTCACCTGCCTTCTCGTGTCCTATTTCTCAATCACAGGGGACTTTGCTTGTAGCATCATCTTTATTGAGAATGCCGTTAGGAATAATACTGGGTGTAAGAATGGGACTGAGCTTTTTGAGGAGTGTGACCTTTTTCTTATTCTGGGGTCCTGGTGAAATATGTTCTAGCCAATCAGAATAATTCAGTAAAGCAAGTTATTAGCTCAGTTGGGAAAAAGAAAGAGGCAACAACAGAAAGTGATGAAGAATTCCCATACCATTTCTTGTCTGAACTTAAAGCAACTTGCACTGTTTTCTCTACACTAGAACATTCTCTTGGCTCGTATTTTAAAATCTCTGTGTAGGTTATCTACTTTGAATTACTCCATTGGATTCTCCTTGGCAAATTACATATACCACCTTGTCGTGCTATTAACCTACAGGGCTCTTCCACCTGTGACCCATGAGGCAACTAAACATGGCCTTGAAGGTCGTCTGCCCCTGTGAATCACAGTGTCTGCTCATGTCAGTCACATAATTTCTGTCAGACCAAACAGAAATTATTTTTTACATTGTTCCATTGTAGGTTTCTTGGGTGCTGCTTTCTCTCCTTAGAGGAGTTAACTGTAAAGTGTTCATTTATGTATTTTATGCAGTTATATTTTCCTACAGTGGAAGTTCTCAGAGGCAGAGGGTGACATAAATCATGTGTAGCTGGGCATGACGAAAGGTATTATGGGTGACAGTGATGACAATATAAACATATTAGGGCTGAGCACGGAGCAGGCTAAGTCAGCCCATAATATTGGGTTGTCGGAAAAGTCATGACGCATTTTTGCAACGAAAAACAGAAAAAATACATCATGACTTTTCCGACAACCCACTAGATGAGACATCTTTCTGCTTTCTTTTTAAAGCTGGCCTTTTTTTGTTTCCATAATGCTGCCTCTGCTTTTCAACACCCACAAATGTCCATTTCCAACGGTTTCATCTCCCCCTAGTCTGGGCTGCATATGGGAGAGCTGATTCAGTGTTAACCCTTTAAATACCTGACAGAGGACCCTGGAGTGAATTTCCGTCACCTGATCTGAGCTGCTGCCCAGGCCCCAGCCGCAGATGACAATCGCCATGACCTAGGGAATAGGTTTGGGATGATGAGCTGGTTTTCCCTTATTGACAAGACTTCTCATTTTCTGTATTTCATTGAAATGGTCTTGAGCCAAGGCAAGCGATGCTACAGACGTCATTCAAGAAGCTCATTGTTATTTATTTTATTTATTTTAATTTTTTTAGCTGAGCCATCCTGCTACCTGTTGGCAGCTCAGCGGCTGCTCAGCTCGGGCTGGACTCGAACCGCTGTTGCTCAGAGCTCAAACTCTTGAGCCAGCTCTTAACCAACTGAGCCACTCGGCCGGCCCTAGCTCATTGTTATTTTAATGAGTCTGCATTAAACCGGGCAGGAAATTAGAAGGCCTGGGTAATTGAACTGTGGAAAATTATAGCTGGAGAAATTCATAGCTCTCCTGTCATAATGGAATTTGGTACTGGCGGCTGCTGAGAGGGCAAGAGTGCATCTCGAGAATTGTATATACTGTATATTTATAAAGAATCGTTTTCTTCCCCCTGTTGCACCTTTATTTATTTATTGTTATGAGGCAAGTGTATCCATTTGAAAACCTAATTTCCTCCCCTAGGCGATTTACTGCATGTGACGGCCTTATTCCACTGTTGTTAAGTCAAGGTTACGGTGGTTAACAAGCTGTTTGTAGATGACTGCGCTCTGCAGTAGGCTCCCTTCCCAGGGCTGAAATGAATTTTACCTCCAGTAATCTTTGGCGATTACATGTTCTAAACAGTAGGAAGTGTCTCCTTTTTTGTTCTCACCCTCTTTCCCATCTTAATAAGAGGTGGGATATTTGGGTCTGACCCTCTGTGGTCAGGTTAGTGTCAGGGTCCTGAGCAACCTGAACTTCATCATTGGAACTGAGCAACTATTTATTTCCACCGCCGAACAGACCGCTGACCCAGGTTGAGTTTTGTGTAAATGGATCCAAGTCCCACTTTGAAAGTCCCTATTAACTACAAAATGAATTTGAGTCAGGAATCTCTAGGCTCAAAACATTGGGCAGCTGAATTAGTGATGGCCTCTTTTTTTCTTCTAAAGAAAATCAAATTGTGGTTTAGGTACAGGCAATGCCTGACACTTCCTCCTGGGAGTGAGATAGGGCTCGTCCTAGATGTCATCATCTGCTCATAAGTTCAACTTGAACGTCAGAAATCCATGCTGCAGGTTCAGAGCTGTTGCCACCTCCCCTACTTCCACTTCCTCGTCCAATGCTGGATTCTTTAAGTTGACTCCATGGTTCCAGGACACTAGTTAGCCTCCTTCATCCTATTTGTCAGCATGCAATGAACATTTTTTTATTACTTATTTTGTACCAGGGACGGCGCTAGAGAAAATGAACATGAACACGGCCTAGTCCTTAATGTAAAGAAGCTTGCAGCCTAGTGAGGAAGACAGAAAAGACAATTCAGTGTCATGTGCTAAGTGCCAACATAGACATGGGCAGAGCATGCTACAAAGGTTACGCAGGGGCTGACATCCAACTTCTCCCAGGGGGTCACACAGTGAGGTTTCGGGACACATTTGCTCTCTTTCTCTGGTCATGGCACCTTCGCTTCGAGATCCCAGGTCATGGACCACACAAAGCTCTGAAGTGAGTCCAGTCTTTAGTGTCTCCGGAAACTAGATCTGCCTTGGTTCTGAGACGATTAAACTTGCAAACTGCCAGCAACCAGAGTGCCCAGGAAGCGAAAGGTTTTCGTGCTAGTTTCAGGGCGTTGTGCGGTCCCTGGGGCTCCTGTGTCATTGGGCGTTTGGGATATTCCACAGGTATTGCCCTGTGTGTTCTCAGCACCTCTGGCTGTTTGTTTTCCAGGTTGCCAAGCGGGTGATCTTACTGTCAGGCACACCAGCCCTGTCGCGGCCTGCAGAGCTCTACACGCAGATCATTGCAGTCAAGCCAACTTTCTTCCCTCAGTTCCACACCTTTGGACTTCGCTACTGTGACGCCAAGCGGGTATCGATTCTCTCACCCCTCGCCAGCTCACCCTCCCTCACCCTGATTTTGACACTCACCTTTCTGTCCCTTCTCTTTGGCCGTGGTATGGTCAGAAGAGCACCGGCCAGGGAGCTAGACCAAGATTTTAGCTCTGCTTTGACCCGGGGATGCCCTCAGGGTCAGGTGAGAACAGTTCCTCCTGGTTTTAACCCTCATGGTGATTCCAGGTTAGTGTTTTCGAATAGAGGGAGCAGTGGCGGATGTGTATGTAGGTATGTAGGGTGCTGAGGTGAGCTGGAGGTGAGGCTGAGGCCTTAGGCAGAGGGAGGAAAGTAGATGAGGCAGGCGAAGGTCACTTGGCTTGGGAGAAGTATGACAACATCCTCTGAAAAAGTGAAGAAAAGACTCCACTCAAAAAAGGCAAAGGAAGCGTTTGAATAGGTGGAGAGGGGAGCATGATCTCAGGGGGTCTGGGGGGGCTCCCATCAGTGAGCCTTGGCTGGTAAATGTGGACTTACTGTAGTGAGGTGTGCTTGGTCGGCAAGCCGGAAGCCCCCTGACCTACAGTTATTTCTATGAATACGGTGCCAGCAGGGCAGGCGTCTCAGGAGCTACAATCTGTGTGCTTTCTGTTCTCTAAAAATGGCAGCAGAAGACACAAGTGCCATTGCAACCAAAATCTCGATTTCTGAAACCTCTTTTTTTTAAAACTGAAAAAAAAAATGTTTATTTAATGACATGGGGCAATACAAAAGTGCAAAAAGTAGGATGCAAAACTTTTTCTCCCTCCATTCCTTCCAACCTTCCTTCCTTCCTCTCTCTCTCTCTCTCTCCTCTCTCTTCCTCTCTCATATATGACTGGACGGTAATTACACCAAAATGGATTACTTTTATACGTGGAGAAAATAAACGTGTTTTAAACATTTAAATTACATTATTCACAAATTTCAAATTCCCCCTGTTGGGCCATTGAGTTCATTAATGTTCATTAACCTGATCGAGCCTTTTGAGCGTGGGACACTGTTCTCCTCTCAGGATCTTTTGTGTCTCTTCCAAAGCCACCCACTTCAAAAGGATGACCTTGCCAGACAAAAGACGGCTGTTGAAGGATAAATTCATTGCTTGGCTTTCCTCCAGATCCCGCAGTACCTCACCTTTGAATATAGGTCATAATAATTGTAGCTGCTACAAATATTCTCTCTCGTAAGCCAGAAGGAAAGGCGTCAGGAAGGTTGAGAGGAGTAGAAGAGGAGGACCCCATGTTTTTCTCTTTTATCACTGGATCTCCTCATCAACCAACAGATCACACGTCACATACGTCGTGTGTGTGATCCCCACACTTTGTACAGTTGAATTTTGCAGAGTCCTTGCACTGGGCCGCTCCAGACGTGGCATAAGCCTTGGCTGGTGAGACCCTCGTCTCTGCAGTTTGGGAGCTGACTTCAGTGAACGAAGGAACACAGATAGAACGGGCTGCTGCAGCTGCCGGGGAACCTGCCCGTGGTTCCTCCTGCGGCTTCAGTTTCCTCATATGGACTGATCAGATCTGACATCCTGTCAGCCCTGGCAGGACTGATGTTGCCGATTGCCTTTTCAAAGTGTAGGTTCAAACTGTGGATGGCCAAAGAGCCTCTGCCCCAAGTAATTGGGAGGTCTTTCTCTGAGACTTGTCATCCACAAATGCCTCTCTTACATAATTTTTTCAGACCCTTCGTGCTTCCCTCTGCCTTCTGCAGGTTGAACTAGGCCTGGCTGCCATGTTTCTCCAGGAGCCAGGCCACCCCCAGATGACCAGAGCCCTAGGATGTCCTCTCTGTCCTTGTCTGTCTCCCTTCCAGGTCAGCAGTGTGTCCTTGGTGGACCCAGCATGTTTCTAGGCCAGAGCTGGGGGCCTCTCAGTGTCAGGCAGCCATAGCCGGGTTGGCAAAAGCCTGTGCACATTTCCAGTGTTCTTCCCCAAAAAGAACCTGAGAAAGGATGACCCAGCGAATCGGCTCCTTGTTTGTGTGGGTGTTCATTTTTCCTTGGTCAGCTGCATTGCTTTCTTCTGGGATTAGGCTGCTTTCCCTTTGGGAAGAGACACAGTCCAGGGCCCTCTCCTCCTCCTCAGCTTGGTGCCTCCCTCACTCTCTCCCCGCAGTGGGACACAGCTCAGCTGATGGCTGGTGTGCTGGGGTCTTGGTTTGCTGTGATGGATAGAAGCAGAAGTCCCAGTCGGTCTCATAGCTGGGGGTGTGCGGGTGGCTGCCCCCCATCTTCTCGCTGAGCCCCCAGTAACTCTAATCCAGGCTCCAGACATCCATGATCTGAAAGCCAGAAGGGAAGTTCCATTAATTTCTCTTCTAATGTCTACTTTCAAAACCAAGGCCAAGGCAGTGAATTCATCCTTCACTAGTACAGCAAGGTCAGACTTCTCCCCACGCCTAAACTCTCTTCCCATGAAGCTTTACGTGGCCCTGAACTCATACGCCAAACTTGGTCTCCTTCCCAAGTGCAGGTTGAGTCCCCTTTTTCCTGGTTGTCCTGCTGTAACTTTGTAAACCTTAATAAAGCCACATCCTGAGTTCCTCTGGCTTTGTTCTTGTGAACAGTGCCTCTGCTGCAGAGGACTGGCTGGACTCTAAAACCTCATTAATTCAGACCTTAAGGATTCCTGCTTTGTGATCAAATCACAAACACACTGAGTTGCTATTTATATCGAAGACCCTGACACTTTGGAGAAGTGACCGCAGCTCACTTACCCATTGCCTATGCCATCCGATCAGGGGCTTTGCTAAGTTCATGTATAAGTAAGATGCTCCACTTTATTTTTAAATAATTTTTAAAAGAAAATGAAACTTTTCAAGTACTTTAAAAATGTCTACTTAAATTCAAACAAAACACTTACAGTGTAAATTGAAGTGCTTTGCAAAGTCCAATTTAAAATTTTTGGTATTATTGGGTTTTAACCTGCAAGATTACGAGTGGATAATATTAGAACTTAGGAGTATGATACCCAAAATAATTATGATAGCCACTTGTGCCTGGCTGGTAGGCCAGGGCCGGCTTCTTGGATTCGTAGAAGCCACTGAAGAGAGTGCCCCGTGCTGAGCTCATTTTCGACCACATACCATGAAGGCATTTGCTGAGAACTTCCAGTTGATCTCAGAGTAGTTTTTTAAAAGAAGCACTTTTTGATCATTTTATTTCTCCACCTTTGACTGTCTCTTCGTAGTCTCAATTTTACGAAGGTTTATGGGACACCTGCCATGTCTCCACAATTACACCGGGTCCGCTGGCCCTCGGAAATGAGCAAGGCTCACCCATCCCTCGTTCACAGTCCAGGGGAGGGTGAGGCAGGAGGGGAGATGAGTGACTTTAAACTATATTAAAACTAGAAGGAAGTAGACACCCTGCCTCCCTGTTTGTTTTTATAAGACTGTAGAAATCAGTCTGAAAGATAGGGTTTTTACTTGCTTTGACAGCACCTTCTCTAGCTCTGCCAGGGAGTAGACATTCTGGCTCACTGCCCCCCATGAGCTACTAAATGAGGGAGCCAGGTTCATGAAGGACTGCCTGGGCACCCTGAACCCCACCTCTGGTTTCAGCCAGACTGGCAAAAACCTGTGTTCTGGGCTCCTCCCTTCAATGCCACCACCAACCCTGCGACTGTGTTTACCATGTTGCTCTTGGTCGTGTTGGTGTGACCCGTACCGAGGACCAACAGCTTTTTAAATCCCTGGAAATCTAATCCGATAAAGGTATTACTGACAACATTCGTTATTCCATTGCGCGATGGACTCTTTAATTAAGCCCTAGGGAAGATCATTTATGTATTTAGTGTGCAGAAATAGTCTGACAAGCTGGTGTCTTGTTTATTTTTAATGTCACGGACACCAGACTGCTGACATCTTGCATTCGCTGCTAGAAAGCTTAGTGCGAAATTATAGAGCGCCATGATACATGTTGTGTGTTCGCCTCATCCCTGACTTCTTTTTCCCTTTTCCTTCCTGTTTGGCATATGGGGTTTTAGTCATCCTTTTAAGCCCCTTGGCGTTCTCTGAACAAAGCCAGGGGAAGAGAAGGGGGTGCGTAGAGAAACCTACCTGAAGGCGACAGCCCTGTCAACGTGGCCCTGGAAAGCGTAACGGGCTGCATCTCTGTCCTTCCTCCGCAGCATGCCTGGGGATGGGATTATTCAGGCTCCTCCAACCTGGGAGAGCTGAAGCTGCTGCTGGAGGAAGCCGTCATGCTGCGACGCCTCAAATCTGATGTCCTGTCCCAGCTCCCAGCCAAACAGCGCAAGATGGTGTTGATCGTCCCAGGTCAGATCAATGCCAAGGTCAAAGTGTCCCTGGATGCCGCAGCCAAGGAAATGACCACCAAGAACCACTCTGTGAGTCTGGGGCTGGAGATAGGGATTTGGAATTTGTGTTCACAGGCGTTTCTTCCCGGGAGGGCCTCTACGGAGATGACCCAGAGTCCTCTGAACTTGTCTTTCCGTAACCTCTTCCCACCTCCCTGGGCAAGGATGGTGAGCCCATTTCATTTCTCAGCCTACCTAGTCTACTGCAGAATCTCTTATTAATTTGCAGCTTTGTGTAGATCACTGCTGATGGATGGACATAAAAGTAAGCCCCAGGGCAATTGCAGGATGGTGATATATATTCTGAATCCCTCAAAGAAACTTGGAATTTATGCTTAGTGTATTTTGACAATGCCTCAGTATAGGAACAGTTGTTAGAAATTAGTTCTATGTTTATTTGATAAATATGTTAACCCTTTAACCATCTCATGTCATTTGCTTTAGTCAAAATAACAAATGGACAGATATTTAATGAAGTCAAGTTTTCAACCCCTCTTAACCCTTGGCTTCCTTATTACGGCCATATGTGGTCGGCAGGAAGTTTGTAGGGTCCCCATTTTAATACAGGGAAACTGAGGCTCCTAGAAACCGCGATTCACCCAAGGTCCTGTGGCTTCTCTGTGGCAGAACTGAGGCTGTATGCAAGCCTGTTACCCCTATATTTTAAGGTTCTTTCCACTATGCTGGTTTTATTTCTTTCAAAACATTTTGATTTGATATCTGTCATTAGTATCTTACTATGCTAAGTACCATAAAGTAATCCACATCAACTCTCTTTCTGTCCTCTTGGGACAAACCTTGCAATTTTCATTGTCAAAAAAATAACAATCATGGACATTTTTTAGCATTATCATAAAGCATTATCTAGGCTTGGTGTTACCCTGTGTAAAAAAAACTTAGACCTAGATGAGATATCAGCCTTCTGGGAAATTACAAAATAAATAAAATGCCCAGAGACAGAATGCGTGATTTTTAAAAAACGTTATTTTACCGTATGATGAGCCAAACTAACTGGTAACTTTTAAGAAACAGAGGGTAGGGTAGAGGATGCACGGGTCAATTGTCAGGCTGTATTTAATTTATATCTATTACATATAACCATCTGGATGGTCTGGAGGAAATGAGCAGGCATAATGTTTTTGCTGTGGAGTTTTCAAACAAAGATCCTTGATGCTGATGTGGACGTACAGACCAGCAGTCCTGAAATTATATTTCAATGGAACCAGAGCGTTTTGTTGCTAAATCCTTCTTGGAGGCCTTTTCTGATTTCTAAAGATAAAAATTAAATGAATGGAAAATTTCTTCTTAGTGTTAAGTTTTTTCTTATAAGTTTCTTAAACCTTTAATGCCTACTAACTTTTGCCCACTAGATAAGCAAGCCAGTGAATAAGTATAGCAAATATAATATTAATGGAAAAAATTCAGACGTGATATTTTTAGCTGCAAAGATCTGAATATTTATCAAATGCTATGTTGTAGTCCCCCGTGTGTGTGATGGAAGCAAGTCTGGCAGTATTTCATGGAACTTCCCAGAGAAGAACACCCTCGCCTGTTCCTGGTCTACCTCCTGAATCAGGTTGAGAACAGCCAGTGTAGACAACTGAAAAAGCAATCAGTGGGCATTTGAATTGAGGACAAAAATCCTATTAACCAGCCAAGATGCAACCGTAAACTGTGCAATGTGGCCAAAAAGAAAAAGAAATAGAAGTATGGGGATTTTGTACTTAGTGCAGCAAGGTTTGAAAGCATTTGTTAAACTTCCTGCCAACTTTCATAGTTCTTCAAGTTAGGGAGTGGCTCTTTTCAAAGATGATATCAGAGGTAGCATTTATAATCTCCCAGAAGGCTGTGTTTCTGAGTTTATAGTCAATGATGTGAAATTGACTAGTCTGAGCCATGGAAATCAGGAATGTTTGGTGTTTTATAACTTCTGGTAGTATGCAAATCCCTTAAATTATTTGGGATATTTTGATTCTTTCTTACCTAAAAAAGGAAGCCATGACGTGCCTCCTGGACTTGGTGCTGGAAAAGTACATAAGGAGAGTACCAACTGTTCGGAAAAGAACCCCACCTATAGGGTGACTATCGCCTGTACTTCTTCAGCATCCCAGAGTCTAATGCTATTTTCCAGATTATGAAAATGAAGCCTAAATTGCATTGTAATTCTTCAAGAATTCAGCAGAGAAAGAGCCTAGAGCTCTTCTCAGTCCCATGCTTGTGAGTTGCTGTCTCCTTCCATGGAGTCTTAGGAAAATTAAGAGTTTGTCCCTGAAAGAGAGAAATTGAGTTGGTATAGATTACCTTCAGCACCATGCTGAAGCCAGACATTGAATTCTTTCTGATAGCAAGATAAATCCTTGAAAATGTGGTTCTCCTTTGTGTTTTTTTTTTTTAAAGATTTTATTGGGGAGTTGGGGGAGGGGAACAGACAAGTTGCTGTCCTTTTGTTCTTCAGTCTAGTTGTGGAGGACGTCGCTTCACTGGCCCATGTTGGTATTATCATTGCGCTCTTCCCGGGTGAGGCAGTCGGTCGCTGGCCATTGGACGGCCGCTCACTGCGGCTCATGGCAGCTCTCACCGGCTGCTGGCCACTCACACTGGCTACTGGCCATTCATGGTAGCTCACAGCAGCCCACTGCAACCCCACTGCAGCTTATGCTGTCGCCGGCGACTCACGGCAGCCCAGCTCCAGGTCGAGCTGTTGTTCACCATCTTAGCTGTAGAGGGCACAGCGTCACTGGCCCATGTGGGAACCGAACCAATGGCCCTGCTGCTCAGAGCTCGTACTCCCAAGCCAACTCTTAACCAACTGAGCCACTAGGCCGGCCCTCCTTTGTGTTCTTTAAATTCATTTTTGTAATGGAAAATCCAAGGAGAAAACAAATTTATGAGCTTTGCAGTTTGGACCATCAGAACCTTTCTTACTCTTAAAGCCACCAGTTTGGTGCATCTGTAAACTGGGGGTTGGATCAGGAGCAGCACCTGACTGAGCTCAGGAAGGGGAGCCAGTGTCGGCTGGGGTGGCCATTGGACTCGGTGGCCGTCGACACTGCTTCTTCACCTTGACCAGCTGTGGGGGAATCATAGTTTTATGGTTTTAGTCAAATAAGGAGGCCTCTGAATCTACAGGAAGTCACTCACCCACCCTCCGTTTTTCTAGTTACTTTTTAGGCCCAGTTTCCCAGCAATTTTGCACATTATGGTGGCTCCAGCAAAGCAGTGCTGACCTGTCAAAAACTGATTTTTTTTCTTTGTTCCCTCGCATCTTCCCATCTGGAGGAAGACTATTTAAAAAAAAGCTTTAAATCACAGAAGCCAAGGTGAAGCAGCCAATTTATAAAATATAATGTACAATGAAAACTTTTTCTCATTTTCAGCTGAAATAATAGATATCTCTTCACAGGCTAAGAAAAGCTGGCTATAATCATCTTTTGTCTAAAGCCTTTTTTTGATCAGCAAGACTACAAGCAGAAAAATGGAATGAGGCCATGCAGGCTTCCTGGTGACAATATCAGTTCACACTTCTGCCATTTGACAGGCCATTCAAATTTCCAACATAGAAAAATAAATTCAAAACCCCAGTGGGTCTAATTTGATAAAAGTCTAGGAGGCAGGAACAAAAAAATGCAGGTTATTTAAAATTTCCTTGTCCGTGGCTGGCAAAAGATGTGAGATCATTAATGGACAAGTATTCTGTCTACCCAGTTTAGGGAGTTTTGTTTTTTTTTTTAAGATAAAACTTGATTTCTCTCACATTAAAAATTCAACATGTCTGTTGTATAAAGTCTGAAAAATAAAAGAAAGTACTTACAATAGGTAAGTACTTTTATTACTACACTGTAAAAAAGATTCACCCATCTTTTATATCACATAATTTCAGCACATCATTTGCATATATCATCAGCATATTTTTGCTATAAAATGTATGTATATATTTTTTGCTTTAAAATATAGTTTATATATAAACATGTATATATATCTATATATACCCATATATGTGTGTATACATATATATAACATGTATGTAATAAATAGCATATATGTTTTGAAAGTAAAATTGGGATCATATAAACATATACCAAGCGAGGAAGAAAACAGGTTACAAAGCTATATCATGAACACGTTTCCATGTTGTTAAATGTTCTTTTAAGACATAACATTTAAACACTGCATAGCGTAGGGGTGGCTGGTTGACTCAGGTGGTTAGAGTGAAGGCTCATGATACTAGGGTTGCCGGTTCAATTTCCGCATGGGCCACTGAGATATGCCCTCCACAACTAGATTGAGGACAGCTACTTGACTTGGAGCTGACGGGTCCTGGAAGAATGCACTGTTCCTCAATAAAATTTTAAAAAAAAACACTGTATAGTGTTTTCTCACGTGACTATATTATAATTTTGTCAGCCATTTTCACTTGGGCATTTAATTCAGTTGTGCACTATTCTAAGTCACACTACACTGGAAAAGTGACTTACATGTGAACTTGTGTGCACCCGATGGTACCATGAGGATAAATTTTAGGGAGTAAGTTGCTGGATCATAGGGTTGGGCATATTTTGAAGGCTTTAGCACACATTGACAAATGATTCCCAAAAAGGTCAGCCTAGGGGGCCGTCCCACCAACCATGTGCAGTAAAGGTGTTTGTTTCCTTGTACTTGCCTCAGCTCTGTGTGGTAAATCTTGGGGCAGGGTTTCCGAAAGTGCCTTCCATCATGTCTCCTGTTTGTTTTGCCCTCTCCCTTTCTTATTAGCAAGTGGGGAGTGTAGGTGGATGGGAGGGATGGACCTGACAAGAATAACGACAGTCTGAAGGACACAGGAGGAAAATCGTAGACTGAGGATGCTTGGGGTGCAGTCTGCTTGAGGCAGACACACTGCAGGTGAGGTCGTCACAAGGACCCTGACTTGTCCCTTTAGCATATCCTACTAGGGACTGCATTAGGTTATAGGGCCTGACCTGCTGCGAGGGACCCTGTGAGGGTACATGGATGGAATTCATGAGGTTTGTGTGCTCAGGTTGCGTGTGTGTCCAGAGCCTCAGCAGAGTCTAAACTGGGCCTGTAGCTGAGAAGTTCACATACACTTCCATGGAGTTGCATCTTTAACATGAGGTCCCAGGAAGTTTAAGTTATTAAATTATTAAGTTGGACTGCTGCCACCAAACAAGAGGGACAGTGGCCTCTGTGCCACGATCCATGTAGACGTGAAAAGGGTCCACAACCCTGTAAGTGCCCCCAGGCATTCCTGGGTATTTTTTTTCCTTCTCATCTCAAGCCCTAGAGGAAAGATACTGTTTAAAGCCAAGAAGCTCTTTTGACTAGGCAGCATTTTCCACCATCTGTGGTATCAATAATTTAAGGTACCGTCTGGCTGTGGCTGCCTTCCTGAGTTAGTAAGGACCCAGGATAAGGAGTTCTGGACCATAGATGTTATTCCTGTTGGCTTACTTCTTTGTTCCATGAGGAGGCTGTCCTGTCACTCACTGGCCTCACAGGCCCTGCGCGAGAAGGTGTAAACCCATGCTTGCTAGTGGAAGGAGACAGTGCCCTACCAATGGGAACAAGAGTATCTTTCATCTCTGGGAGCCCAGAGTGATAGTAAATGTTAGCTCATGTTATTATGAAACTATTGTTAGCATGCTTTATTAGGATTTATTTAGATGCAAACGATAGAGAAAACATGGTGTCTTCTCCTGAGAAGTCATTCACCTTATGTGGGACACAGGCCAGAAACCCTTGAGCAGTGGTTTTGAGATGAGGTTAGAATAAACTAGTTGGGGTCAGTAGGAATTGATTTAGTAAGTTTGGATGGAGGTAAGCTTGGTCAGTCGGGTGGACACAAATTGGCAGAAGAAAAGGGGGAGGCACAAACACGTTGGGCCAATGTCATGTGTAAGTTGTCCCCAGGCTGTCGTAAATATAATAGGTGTGCTTAGCAAGGCTGCATTTCAGCTGATCACGTGAGCTAGGCGTGTATGCTGAAGCCCTACCTGAAATGCCTTTCCAAAGAACTTGCACGTTCCTTGCCTCATTGTATTCTCACAACAGTTCTCAGTGGGTGACAGAGGAACTATTATGCCATGCATCTGATGACAAATCCAGAGTTCAAGCAGTCCCTGTGGCTTGGCTAAAGTGAGTGGATAAGTCAGGGTCCCCTGGCTCTGATGATTGGTGTTAGGATTTGTAAAGCTCATAGTGGTGATAATTATGTCATCTTAGAGTTCTCTGAGTAGGAAACTTTAAATCCGCGACTTCTCTCCACAGAAAGGACAGCAGAGAGAAGCCCTTCTTGTGTTCTTCAACAAAACAGCCGAAGCTAAAATCCCATGTGTCATGTAAGTAGTCACGAAGTGTCGACTTCTCTCTCTTTCTCTCTCTCTCTCTCTCTCTCTCTCTCTCTCTCTCTCTCTCTCTCTCTCTCTCATCTTTAAAAGAAACACCTATATCTTAGTTTGCCAGAATGGTGTTACTGCTCTATAAGAAATTATCAGATTCCAATTACAGCTGCCTTAAATATATAAGGTTTAGGGCATCACAGCCTCATCACCCACAAGGCATGAGTAGGCTTGTCACTGGAATGCTGCCAGGATGTGCTTGGGGTCCCTGTGAGATCCTGTCTGAGCTCAGATGAGCTGGAGCTGCTGTCACATGTGAGGAGGGTGGGGTGACACTAAGGGGGAGTTTTCCTTTTATGGGGGAACTGTATTCACTTGCCTGTAGGAAAAAAGGTCTTTCATAAAAGACGGAGAAGCTGCCTTAGGTGATTCTTTGGTCTTCTCGAAAGACATGAAGTTTCAGCCATTATTTATCTACAGAGAAAGGAAAATTTCAGTTTGTTCAAAAGATATGAGCAAGGGGTCATTGTCACACCTAGTTCTCCTTCTGCCTTATAAACTAAAGCTGAGGTAATTTCTATTCTTAGAATTATTCACTGACTTGAAAAAAAATCTCAATTGCCTGCCTTTCTTAAAGAAAGAAAAACCCATTCATGTTCAAGTATCACTGTGGTAGAAACTTGAGGCAATTCCGATGACGTGCAGTTGGCCTGACTTTTTTATTGTTTAACATTCATGGGAGACTCTGACAGGATAATGGCCCAAGTGATTAAATTACACTGAAAATGGATTGGTGTGGGCTGAGCGGTGCCAGATTGGCTGTGGGGACTGAGATCTGTGGGTAAGTGGAGACACAGCCTACCTCACCCTCTCACTCTGCCTCCAGATCTCCCAGCCTCACCCTCCGCACCCCTAAATATGGTAAGAGAGTGAGTTCGCTGCAGTATTCAAATCTCAGATTCTGCACAAAGACTGCTGAATGTTGGCCAGCCCCCCTTCACCCTTTGGGAACTGCCCTTTTCATTTATGGTACCGTTTTGAGACTAATGAACTCCAGATGTGGTTTTTATGGCCTGGAAACTTATCTCTCAGAAAAGAATCTGAATTGTCCCCGCTAACCCGTTTTTCAAACGCTGCCAAGTAACAGACGGCAAGGGTGTCAGCCCTTTCCCTCGCACTCTCAGCATGTGACCTGCAAAACTCAGGGTTTATTGAGGGCTGGGCCCAGAACCAACCATTTCCGTATGAAATTATAAATCTAATCATTTTGCCACCTCATAAATGAACTTGGTAATACCTTGTCTTAGTCCGTTCAGGCTGCCATAACAAAAATATCAGACTGATAGAATGGGTGGCTTAAACAACAAACATTTACTTCTCACAGCTCTAGCAGCTAGGAAGTCCAAGTTCAAGGTGCCAGCAGATTCAGAGTCTGGGGAGAGCTCTCTTCCTGGCTTGCAGACAGCCTTCTTCTCACCGCATCCTCACATGGTGGACGGGGCAAGGGTGCACTCTCGGTCTCTTTTATAAGAAGACCCCTAACTCCATCACCTCCTATAGGCTTCGCCTTCCTATACCGTCCCATTTATGAATGTTTTGACACAAGCATTCAGTCCGTAACACACCTCACACATACTTTTTCAAAATTCTGTTATAAATTATATAGTGCTTTGTCATTCCAACAATTTTGACATTTGTTAACCCATTTCACGTTTACAGCCTCTTTGTGAAATCAGTATATTGAGTCATATAGGTGCAATTTTTTAAATGCAGAAACTGAGTAAATCTCATGAAAATCTCTGGACCTCAGAGTCCCACAGCTAGTAGGCGGAAATTAGATTATAAATCTTAAAACCGCAATTTCCTCTGCTAGTTGTTTTTCTTCCCTTTTTTGCTGTTGTTTGTTTTTATTTTTTAAGGGGCATTTTTCAACATGAAAGCCAGGGTTATTGTAGTAGGCAAATACTTTTAGCCTGGCAGCCTAGGGACGCGGGGAAGGGCGGAGCAGTCAAACCAAGTCTGAGTCGTAGAGCAGAAAGAGGCATTAGCAAAATGGGGGCCTCTGGCAACTGTGAGTTGGCCATGTGGATTTCATGGTCTTGTGACTTTTTAGTGCTGTAGCAATAAACATTTTTACTTATATCACGGCAAATTTTATGTCTCAAACTAATTAAAATAGATTCTATTTCGTTCTTAAATTGAACTTAAATCCTTACCCTGGTTGGCCATAGTATTGTTGAAAATAATTCTTAGATGTTTAGAGGACAGTCCACTTATCTTTCCACCGCCTGCTGTAACTGGAAACCTTTGCCACGTGTCCGTCTCTGAGGAGGGCAGTGTCTGTTCTCTGCCCAGACACACTATGTGGGGATGGCCTCAGGCGGAGCAAATGCCTGTTGTGTCCGAGGAAGCTCACCCTCCCGCCACCCTGCAGGAGCCGTGACCTGCACTGGGACTGGGACCCCTCTGCAGGGCACCCCGGAGCCTCCAGGGTATGCTGACTGGGTAACTCTCCCCCTGCAGTCCCCAGGGGTAGCTGCCTTCCTTTAAGACCACTGCTACAGGTAAGGGGCAGGAAGTAAAAAACAAAAAAAAAACAAAAACAAAAACCAGTAGGTATTAGAGAGAAGTGAATTAAAGGGAGAATGAAGAGCAAGCAAACAAGGTGCTTCGCCCCATATTCCTTTGCCTCGGGAAAGAATTCACTTAGCACCGACTTAACTGCTGGCCCAGATGTGGGCAGGAGCTGGAGAGCTTTCTCTGACCGTGTATTGTTACTCAGGTCTAAATATTACACTTCCAGAAATTCAGTTACTGTCAAGAATCCCTTAATCCCCCGCCTAGGCATTTTCAGATCTATAGACATTTCAATTTGTGTTGAAAACTCATTATAAAGATAGTGGCAGCCAAAGTGTTAACTGTTAATTACCTTCTGTGATCCCAGGTAATAAGAATGTTTCAGTAACATATCAGAGACACATAAAACGTACAGATACGTCCATTTGTTTGTGTATGGGAGATGACTAAAAAGTATGGAAGTACGCCTCCTGCACCTGGCAAAAGATGGCTTGCTGCCCCACAGCTCATAATTTTGCTTCTTTTATTCAAGCGACCTGGCAGGAGGGAAAGGAGAAGAGGTCAGCTCTCAGAGAAGGGAGCGAACGGGCTGGGGAGGACAGGTACCCAGAAGGTGTCTGCTACAGATAGTCACTTTTCAGTAATTAACCTCAACTGGATGAGCATGTGTTCAATTTACTGTGCTCTCATTGTCAAATGCAGTGAATATATCCTGGACCTGCTGGAAAGTGGAAAAGAGAAGTTTCTAGTGTTTGCCCACCACAAGGTGGTTCTGGATGCGATTACCAAAGAGCTTGAGAGAAAGGTAAGCTCCCAGGATGCTTTTGTTGTCTGTGTGTCAGCTGCTAAGTTGTTCTGAGCCGTCTGAGTGAGGTCAGATCACCAAAGAAGAGAGATGGTGGTTTCCAGAAACATTGCTAGACTTCCTGAAGAATTCTTGTTTGTGGAACTACAGTGTGGCCAAAATATCTTTCCAGCATTTGACTTCCCCCATGCTTTGTATGGATATCCCAGGAATCCTGCTTTGGGAACATCTCCCATCATTCTGTGTAAATAATTAGAAAATTGACAAGAGAGGAGGTAGCAGAAATTGTTCTCCTGTGTGGAGACAAGTATTTGTATAACCCTTCTCTTTTTCCCTTTGTTCTTCGTTATTACCACCAAGGTGGTTTTATTCATTGTACGTGGCCATGCGCCAACTTCAATACAGAGTTTTATGATCCTCATTAAATTGAGTGAAGAATATCTAGAGGGATTTCCTGGGATGTTCATTAAAACTAAACACATATTTTTACCCCCTTTTTCATTTTTTAATTATATTTAGGACCATAAGTTACCTTTTGTCTTCCTTCATCTTTTATATTTATATAATATATCAAAAATACAGAACAGTACAGAGAAAAAAAACAACAAACACCTATGTGTCCCCTCCAAATGTATACACTGTATGACTCCGTTTATATAACATTTTTGAAATGAAACATTTTCTAAATGTAGGATGGATTAGTAGCGCCTGGGGGTAGCGGGAGGAAGGTGGGCCTGGTTACAAGGACTACAGAAGGATCCTTGTGGTGTTAGAACTGGCCAGTATCTTGCCTGTGAAAACCCACATGAAAACCCACACGGGTGATAAAACTGTATAGAATACACACACACGAGTTTAAGTAACGGGAAATCTGAGTTAGATTAGTGGCTTGTGTCAAAGTCAGTATCCTGGTCGTGATACTATACTATAGTTTTACAGAATATTACCATTGGGGGAAACTGGGAAAATGTACAAGGAATCACTCTGTGTTATTGCCTAACCTACTTGGGAATCTACAATTATCAACACAACTTTCAATTTGAAAGAAAAGGAAAGACAAGACAGGACCAGGTGACCAGCCGGATGCTCCGGCCGGATTTGCGGCCGAGCAGCAGCGGGGTCCCATCCTTGGAGCCGCAGCTCAGCCCCTGGGCAACGTGGCGGCCCACCCCGCTGCCCACCCCGCTTCCCTCCCGTGTTCCCGCAGAAGGTGCAGTGCATCCGCATCGATGGCTCCACCTCCTCGGCAGACCGAGAGAGCCTGTGCCAGCGGTTCCAGCTGTCCGAGAGGCACGCCGTGGCTGTGCTGTCCATCACCGCTGCCAACATGGGCCTCACCTTCTCCTCGGCCGACCTGGTGGTGTTCGCCGAGCTGTTCTGGAACCCAGGGGTACTGCACGCAGAAGACCTTCGGTCCCTGGGCACGCACGTGGCTGTGGGGAGGATGGCACTAGTGTCAGTGGGGAAGACAAGGTCCTGTGAGCGGTCCCTAAGGCCAGTGTCATCTACTGCTGCCTGTTTCCGGTAGCCCTCATAAACACGTTTGTTCTTGCCACAAACCTCGTTTAAGTGAAGACGCGCACATCTCTTGGCTAGCTGTTAGATCTTCACGACACCCCTGAGTAGAAGGATTATCAACTCCATCTTATCAATGGGAAAAGTGAAGTCTCAGGAGGAATCTTACAAGTCATCTCTGAGACAGCTGGGGCACAGACAGCTCAGGTGCATATATGTCACCGAAGGGCCCATGGCAGCCCTAGGCCACAGCCCAGCCCCCTGGCTTCCCACCACGTGCCCCTTTTATTAACCATCCCTGTGAGCTGCTTTAGCCAGTGGGGCCGCAACAGGGCAGCCGCTGTGGGTGTTCCCTGACATGATCATTGTGCCCACTGGCCTTATCTGATCAGCTGAGGGCTGTGACAGCAGGTAGAAGATGTTTGTTTGGACTCATTAAATTTTCTCTTGAGCTCCAGAAAGAATTTATTTCCCCTCACACGTTCTCACATAGTGTGGCTGTCACTGGCCACGCATAGGTGACTGCTTTAATGATGGGTGGACTTCCAGGTGGAGGAAATTTTATAATGGAAACAATGGCCTTGGTTTTCATTATTCCTTGTAGCGCGTACCACCATATAAAAAGACCACCCTACCCCCTAATCACACATGGCCTCTCCCAGGGGTGTAATGTGTTTGTGTAGCTGGAAGATAACTGATTTTATTTCATGGAGAGGGAGAATGGAAGTGAGCCATGTTTCCTTGGTTTGCCCTTCTTCCCAGCCTGATGGCAGAAGCAAAGCCCGCTTCGCCTTCGCAGCACCTAGTACCGTGCCGGACACAGAAAGGTCAGCCACAGCTATCCAGCTGCAGATTTAATTCCCCGGCCAGTGTTTTGTTTGGCTCTGTCTTTTATCAGATGACAGGTCATTTGTAGGTAGAGACTCATGGGTCCTCTGCCACATGACACGGTAGTGAAGTCCTCTGAGGAAAAAGGACTATGGTGGGGCTTGGGGGCAAGGGGCTGCCTGCTGTAGGGGGCTGAGCTGCTTCAGGCCTTGACCTACATACACCTTGATCCCCCCGCCTCGCAGGTGCTGATGCAGGCTGAGGACCGGGTGCATCGCATTGGACAGTTGAGCTCCGTGGGCATCCACTACCTCGTGGCGAGAGGCACGGCCGACGACTACCTTTGGTATGGCTGGCCGGTGGCCCTGCAGCTGGGGTTGAGCGAGGCTTCACATGGATGATGTATTTCCTTTGCTCCCTAACTGCTTCTGCTATTTGCTGTGGGCTTCAGGGATCCCCAGAGAACACCCGTTAGGAATGCCTCCCTCTTTCATCATGACTGCGCTTGGCTCCTTCAGAGCGTTCACTGCTGACCTGCAGGGTGGGTGCACGAGGAAACCTTGTAGGAATATGGGCTGTGGCTCCTTTCCACTGTCCTGAGACAAGCGGGGAGAACTGGTGAAATGTAGATGGCATTTGTGAAACACTGTTCCCAGCCGTGAAGGCACTTGTTGAGACAGGTGGCAGCCCCTTTGCCCCTTTCTGTTGTGTGTTGGCATGATAAGGCCATCTTAGAGCTGCCAAGCCATCAGGAGAAAGTGGCTCACCCTGGGCCATGTCTTGCTTCGTTAACAGCAAAAAAATCCCACAATGCTCCTTCCCAACCCCATTTCCCCCTTCCTGATATTAAGTTTCTTGATTGTCTCAGTTTCCACTTCTCATCTGTTTCCAGCCTCGTGACTGGGGGGTCTTACCTCTGCAGGGTGCACAGGTCGTCCCTACTTCCTGGTCTTGGTTTAGTGGACTTGATCATTGGGCATCTCATGACACCAGGTTTAGTTGTAATGAGGCAACATTTATTTCCTACACATTTTCCCTCAGAAAGAATTCTGTAAGTAGCTTTTTTTTTTTTTTTTAGCTGAGCCATCCTGCTACCTGTTGGCAGCTCAGCGGCTGCTCAGCTCGGGCTGGACTCGAACCGCTGTTGCTCAGAGCTCAAACTCTTGAGTGAGCTCTTAACCAACTGAGCCACTCGGCCGGCCCTCCTCAGAAGGAATTCTGAACCTGATGCCCTGAGCCTTGAATGGGTTGGCTTACCATCGAGAGGAGGCCGATATTTCAGGATGGGCATTGTGTCTTGAGAGATACAAAGACATGAAACAGCATGTCACAGCCCCCCAAGAACAGGGAGGGTGGTCTCGTTTTGATCAGTCTGCTGGTTCTGTGCAGGTCGGATTCACTGTAGCTCATTTCTCTCCACCAGGCCCTTGATTCAAGAGAAGATTAAAATTCTGGGTGAAGCCGGGGTTTCCGAGGCCAGTTTTTCAGAAATGACAGAAACCACTGATTACATCTACAAGGTAACAGCAGCACATGGCTCTTTGCTACTGGGGCAGAGGGAGGCAGGAAACTGCCCACACCCAGCCCGTGGGTCTTGAGTGGGAAGGTATGAATCACTCCTGGGGACGTCACCCCGCCCAGGAGCTGAAAGTGATGGCCTGCAGTCATTCTCAGTTCAGTCCATGTGTGCGTCCTAATGGAGGAGCGATGGCACTGACAACAACTACTTCTGACCTTCCCTCGGAGATTCTCATAAAACCAGGGCTTCCAAATGCTGCGTCTTCCGTGAGGCCATTAGGAGCTGACAGGAAACACTCCCCATGACAACTGTTGAATTGTTGCAGAAAGGACATTGCAACACCACACAGCAGGGCGGCCCTGGGGACATGTTCCCAGCACAGAATGAGGAATGTTCAAAATTGGGTATTGCTTGTTTATAACATTTTCCCCTCTGTCGGTGCATTTTATTCTCAGTGTCTCCCATTTTTGTAGAAGGGTGAACTGAGACATGCAGAACAGTGCATCTTGCCCCCAGTTACGGGCCTTGTGAAGCCAGCCCGAGGTAGTCAACTTCCCAACTTGGCCCAGCCTTCCTTCTGTGACAGCCCCTCTTATTATCAAGGAGGGTAAGAGGCCGCTGAACATTTTTCCACGGCCAGGTGGGCCTTGTCAGAGGTGCTGAGAGGAAGCTTGTTGGCCTCGAGAGGACAGCCCGGGCCCAGCAAGCCTGCCCTGGCCTAGCGCACCAGCCCAGTTGCTGCCACGGCCTCTTCCTGCTCCATTCCAGTGAAACTCGCTGGAGTGGAGCAGGAGGCACCAAGACTTCCAGAGGCTTTGTGGTTGACGTGGAAGGTGAGGACTCTGGGGGTACTGCCTGCTGGAGAGCAACTCCTGAGGGGGAGTTGTTTCTAATGAGAGCTTGGACAGAGGTCTGAGCCTGATGCGGAAAGGCAGCCCTAGGAGTGCTCATTAGGAAACCAGGGTGCCGTGTCTTTCCCGTGGGATTGCCAAGTATCAGAAGCTGAATTCAGTCAACAAAATCTTGTCAGTGACACTAAGATTTAGGAGTCTGAGGATTGATCTTTCATTTACATTTACTTAGCAGCTAAATCCTCTTTTCCAAATGTAATTATTGGGATGACTAAGACTCTAAGACTTGGAGATCATCTGTTTAAATGGAGAATTGAATTCAGTTGAATGGTAAATATTTCACAGACCCTTGGTTATTATATGACCTGTGAAAAGAAAGAGCCTTATTTTTAAAGGATTCTCAATCGCTGATAATGAGTTTATGAGTTTATTTATTTAGTTACAAATAGAAATTCACTCATTCATACTGGCCTTACCCTCAGTTACTCTGAATTTCTGCCTGAAGTACAGGTACAAGATAATATAAATGGAGTTGATTAGTATTTATTTTGACTAATAATTATGTCGATTAATTTTTTTTTATTAGAATAGGGCTGAAATTTTTATCTACAAGAAAAAGGAAATGTTGCCTCCTATATAGGAGACAAAAGCAAAAGAGGTTATGTCTCCCTAAGATATCCTGCCTTCTGAGAGGGGAAGCGAAATAGTAATCTGATTTTTCAACTCGCTTCTATTAATTATGCCTGCTCTGAATTAGCACATCGCGCTACCATCATCATCATCAAATGCACGTTAACAGTTATTTCTACTTGGAATAGGCTGCTTTGCATGGTGGCATTTCCTTGACCTTGCAGTTGTTCAGAAGGTGATGAGAAGATCCTGGAGGAGGACACGTGGACAGCGTGGGGCTGACCTTAATGGTCTTGACTATCACGTCCCACCTGAAAGGACAACCACTTCCTCTCTTGTTTTTTATCCTTTACCCGATGGGCAGGAGAGAAGAGGTCAGACGCTAAGGCAGTAAGGCTGCTTTGGTGATAAACAGTTTACTGAGCTGGCTTGCTCACGCCACCACGCAGCAGCTGATGACATAACAAGTGTGGGTCCCTTGCCTGTGTGTTCTCTCAACAGCCACAGTGGCAGGGAGTCAGTGTTGGAGCCTGGATTGTTTTATCTTTCCTTTTCTTTCTCTGATGAAGGACCCAAAGCAGCAGAAGATCTATGACCTATTCCAGAAGTCCTTTGAGGAATTTGGAAGCGACAAGGAGTTCCTGGAGGCAGCGGAGTCCTTTGACCCAGGAAGTGCTTCAGGAACATCAGGAAGTGGCTCCCAGGACACAGGAGACTCGCTGGACGAAAGCACACTGACGGACAGTCCGCTGAGGAAAAGGAGATTTGAATTTTTTGATAACTGGGACAGCTTTACCTCACCCCTGTAAGAGGGGCAAAAAAAGCATTTGAAAATCACGGAATTCATTAAAATAAAGTAAGACATTTTGTTTATAAAGCCTATGTTCTTCTTGTCATTTATCTGGTCTCTGTCTCCACGCATAGCAAGTCACCAGGCCAAGGGTCAGTGTTTCCTTTCCAGCCTCATTATGTGTGGGTTTGCTTGGGTCTTCATTAAGCTTAGCTTTCCTGGCTGAGAAATAGACAGTGGGTGGTAGTAATGGTAATTCACATTCTTTAAATAATGAGGTGCTTCATACACAACCCCCAAAATATGGACTTTTAAAATATATTGATTCAGCAAGTATTTATAGAGCACCTAATATGTGCCAGGCACTGTTCTAGGTGCTGGCAGTAATTCACCAAACACAAAAGAAAAAGTATGCACTTTTGCAGAGATTATCATCATGGGAGAGGCAGTAGTTAGTTATACATCCTATGAGGAAAAATTAAAAAGTAAGGGGTTTAGAGCAGGGGTTGTTCTTTCTGTACATAGCCAGGTAGTAAAAAATGTTGGCTTTACGGGCCAAAACAGCTCTGTTGGAACTACTCAACTCTGCTGCTGTTTTTCCAGAACAACCATAAATAATCCGGAAACAAAGGATTAGAGCTCTTTTCCAGTAGCACTCTGTTATGGACACTGAAATTTGAATTTTGTGTAATTTTCATGTGTCACAAATTATTATTCTTTTGATGTACTTTCAGTCATTTAAAATGTAAAAACCATATTTAACTCACAGACCATGCAAGAACAGGCAGTGGGCAGGGTTTGGCCAGCAGACCACAGTTGGCTAACCCCTGGTTTACAGCAGCACTGTCCAGTAACATAAGCCACATATGTGATTTTAATTTTCTAATGAAGTATTTTTAAAACTAAAGAGGGATCAAATTAGTAATATTTAACCCAATATATCCAAAATATTGTCATTTCAAATAATCGCTACTAAAAAGTTATTGAGAAACTTTACACGTTTTTTTTTCATACTTCAAAATCCAGTGTGTATGTGACACTAGTAGACACTCGCCTGCTGCTCACTCAACCCCCATCAGGGTGTCCAGAGCCGTTTGGGTGCAGCTTTTCCACCGGAGCTTGGTCAGGTTCTTTAAATGTCTTAGAGAATGAGATCATAGGATCTCCTTCCTTCCTTCTATTAATAGCGCCCCTTACTCCAGGAATGTGGCTAGGAGACCTATGACCTATACATAGATCAATGGGTATGCTTCAAAGGTAAATGAAATGTGTAGGTATTTTGAAACACACATACCCATTGTTGCTTAGGAGGCTCACTGATCATTGTTAAATGAACAAATCCCGGCTGTATTTACCTCGGAGCCTGCCAGACAGAGTGGCCCCTGTGATACTGCAAGGTGTCAGATCAGTGCCTGTCACTGGGGGGTTTACCCTTGGTTCCTGCAATTTGGTGCTCATTGTGGAAACCACTATTTATTCTTCTGTGGTTTTAGTAAATGTGACCTGTTGAGCCTGCATCTGAGGCCTCTAGTTGAACCTCAATTTTAGTTGCTCTGGAAAAAAACATTCTCTCTCTCTCTCTCTCTCTCTCTCTCTCTCNAGTTGAACCTCAATTTTAGTTGCTCTGGAAAAAAACATTCTCTCTCTCTCTCTCTCTCTCTCTCTCTCTCTCTCTCTCTCTGTCTCTCTCTCTCTGTCTCTCTCTCTCTCTCTCTCTCTCTGTCTCTCTCTCTCTCTCTCTGTCTCTCTCTCTCTCTCTCTCGTCCCTGAGGTCCTCCAAAGCAAATTTTATTTATACCATGTAGCCTATATATTTTCAACTATGCTATCCAAAATGTACCTCTGAAATTTATTGAGAGCCATCCAGCCATTTCTGTGTGATTCAGTAAAAGACACTTGGATTTATTTATATAGAGAGTAAATACCTTTGGGTTTAAGGAAGGATTTCCACACTAACTCCTTCTCCTCCTGTACTTGGCAGCTCAGTCCAGACATATACACCCCAACAGCCACCATGTTTTCTGGAAAGGTCAATTGGAATGAAGAAAATTGGAGCCTATCTCATTCTACTCCTGTCCCTGTCATCAATTGTCCCCTTAAAGGGGACAATTTTTTACTAAAAGTCCCCCTAGGTCCACTGACACTGTCTGCTTCCCCCCACCAGTGTCATTAAGTGAAGTCTTGTTCCCTGTGTGACCCTGGTTAATTTCTGCCTCTAGGGCTGGGCATAAGGATGATCCTGTTAGTTTTGATCCACGTGTGCTTGAATTAATTGTGTCTTCTTGGCTTCGCACAGGCCTTTTTCTAGGTCAGAGGGAAAGCTGAGAATCAGCCGGAGGTGCTGTCCCCTCACTGCCGGCTGAGTTTTGCCTTCTCTGATGCTTTCTGAAGCTCTACTGAAGTGAAATTTAAATTGAAAAGAGGGTAAAAAGATGTCTAACCTTATTTTCTACCCCGCAGTTTCACTTTTTACCAAGCTCAAAATTATAAGGTAAAAAATGGCTTGGAAGCTTAAAGGGGTTTTGTTGGGAGTAGTCTCGCATACTTATGTTTTTTTTGGTTTTGCATTTTCCTGTGGGGTCTCAGCAAAGGAAATGGATGCCTGATCATAATGGAAATCATTGAGAGGCCTGAGATTCAGTCTTTTAGGTATTATGACAGCCAACAGTTACTTGATTTTGCAAGACTCTCAGCCAAACACACACCCCAATCCATTAAACAGATTTGATTGAGCACCAGATACTCTTCCTCTGTTTTTAATCCCTCTTTTTGGGGATGAAATATAAAACATAAAAAGAGTTCATAAAACAAATTTACAGCTTTACAAAATATTACAAAATAAACACCTGTGTAATCATGACCCCAAGGTTATGAATATAATATCTTCAAGAAGCTTTATTGTGGGGCCAGCTGAGTGGCTCATTGGTTAAGAGCTGGCTTGGGAGCACAAGCTCTGAGCAGCAGGGCCCTGGTTTGGATCCCACATGGGCTGGTGACGCTGTGCCCTCTACAGCTAAGATGGTGAACAACAGCTTGACCTGGAGCTGGGCTGCCATGAGTTGCCGGTGACAGTGTGGGCTGCAGTGGGCTGCCATAAGCTACTGTGAGTGGGCAGCAGTCAGTGTGAGCGGCCGTGAGCCTCCGTGAGCAGCCGTCCAATGGCCGGTGACCAATCTGCCTCAGCTAGGAAGAGCTCAATGATCACAATACCAACATGGGCCAGTGAAGTGACGTCCTCCACAACTAGACTGAAGAACAAAAGGACAGCAACTTGTCTGTTCCCCTTTCCCGATTCCCCAATGCTGTTCCCTCCCCCAATTCCCCAATAAAATCATAAAAAAAAAGTAGAAGCTTTATTGTTTTGCTTCTAATGTTTGTTTATATCTACAGTCCACCTGGAGGTCATTTTTGTACATGGGGTGAGGTAAGGTCAAGGTTAATTTTTTTTCCATTTGAATATGCATTTATCTCAGCACCACTTATTGAAGACTTTCCCTTCACATACTTCTCCGCAGTGCCTTTTTCACTGTTATAAATTTGATGTAAAAATTAATCTAGAAATGTATAAATAAAAAATGAAAGTCTTACATTCTCATCCCTCCTACTCTTGAGGTAATAACTAATATAAACAATTTGGGACGAAGCCATTGGTAATATATTCCCCATGCATACAATTATATAGAAACATACAACAGGTCCTTGAATAAACATCGTGTTCATTCAACGTCTTCATTATAATGTTGATGAGATGCCATAAGAACTTAAGTCTTGTTTATAACAGCCTACGGTAAAATTGGTTTCTTTATACATCTTTTCACTTAAAGTCGCAACTATCAATGTTAAGTGAGGACTTTACATAGAATTGTTTTTATAAAAATTGTATCAAAGTCTTCATACTGAAAATGGCTTATTTCACATAAAATATTTGGCCATTGTTTCATATTGAGCTATCTCATCTCTTTTAAGAGTTGCAGAGTAACTCCCTTCCTCACGGGTGCATTACCTGTGTCAATGATCTGTGAAATCGCCATTTAAAAAACAACTATTATAGAATGCATTTAAATTAAAGCTGTGGACAGAAGGGAGAAAGGAAAGAACCCTCGTACTGAGCTCATTTCAGACACCTGACTCTTTCTAGGTGTCCAGGTCTTGACCTTGGCCAACATTGCCCCCCCCCCCTTGCTGAATCAGCCCTACCCTATGGAGCTCGGACCAAAGGCTCTTAACAGCTCTATGCAGGCTTCGCTCTTCTGTGGCCACCAGGCACATCCATGAAGGGCAAGCAAGAGCCCTTCAGCCAGGAAGTGAAGGAACAACGTGGACCCTGGGTCACCAGAATAAGTCCTTTCTGTCTCCAGCATGACATGAATTCACAATGATGCTTGCACCTGAGATATCCCTCAAGAATATAATATTCCATATGGCCCCAAGAGAACTGGTTGACTCACCAGCTAAAAGAACTCTTCTCTGCAGCTGACTTTTATTTATTTTTCTAACAGTGAAAGTGAATTCTGAGTGCTTCTGAGGAGTAGAAGTGACTCAACAGAGATTTTCACTGAGACTTTTATGGGTACACATTACAGTTAATAATCTCTATACCTGATGGTCCTCTAATGGGGATGGAGATTTACTAGCCCACACATAAGACAAATGGAGATTTTATGAGAGGCACAATTCTCTGAAGCCACTGAGAGCTGATTTCATGAGAGTGCTATTTGTACACCCTCAAGCTTGCTATTTAAAAAGAATTGTTCAGTTTAGATAAAATTGCTTTGAACATGAAAAATTGTCTCCTGTTACAGAGCGTCTCATTTTCAGCCACTCTGTTGCATTCTACGCATGCAGGGGCCAGGGTGGGGATGTGGAAGACGCCCGAAATGATGACCTGAACTAGACTCTAGAGCCAGCTCAGAAGAGCTTGCTTCAGCTTGGGCTGCCCCAGCGCGAGGCTGGCCGTGCTTACGCACTCAGGGCAGGTGAGCCTCCACTCTGCTTGGCCTGGAAGCACAGGCTGGAACATTAGAGTACTTATTTCCCAACCCTCCTTCCACAAGTCCCATTTGTTTGCACCAATGGGAATACATTTTTGTTTTAATTTATAATTTTCTGGAGGCAGGGTATAGTTTTGGCAGAGAGGTTTCCAGAAATCACCTCCCCTCCCCGCCAATGCAGTGTGTTTCTCTACTGGGGAAGGAGGGACTTGCGCCCTGGATCCCTTGCTAGTCTTCACCCTAAAGAGGCAAAGGGTACATAAAGCCTGTGGTGGGGACATCCCTCAGGGAAATTTAAGTAGCGGTAGCCATGACTGTAACAGGCTCATTGTGTCCAAGGTAAAGAAATGACAGAGAAAAGAGATGGGCATATTTTTAAGGGAAAGTAGAAAGTGGATCTGTTGTAGTCCCCTGAGTATGGCAGAAGAGGAAACAGGATTGAAAAGGCATCAAGAGACATTGAAATCAGGTCTTACCATTATCATCTCAATAACAATAATAACCATCCCTTAGAAATGTCCACTAGGCACTTCATAAATGTTATTTCATCCTCCCAAGAATCTTATAAGGTGTATGGTATACCCACTTTGAAGCTGAGGAAACAGCCTGAATCTTGTGATATACTAGAGCACTGGTATGGAAGTTATGTATTGGCTGTCTGACCTTGGGCAAGTCATTTGACCTCCCTGGCCTCAGTTTCCAGAATAGGCTGGATCATCTCTAAAGCCTTTTTCAGTTCTGACACAAGTGGGTTGACCTTGTAAAGCAGAGAAGCCCAGACAGGTAAAACCCTGTTCAAACCCAACTCACCATCATACCATGCAAGGTACCATTTCTCCATTCAACAAGTAGCCACGCGACAGCCAGCCATGCCAGGCTGTGCTCAGTCCTGGGTTGCAGAGGTGGACACATAGGCCCTGCCCTCATGGAGGTGGCTTGTGGTGACCTTGGGCTGTTGTTCTTATTATTTAAAATACTTTGTTTTTTAGAAGAATTTTAGATTTATATAAAAATCGAGGGGATAGTAAGGACAGTACCTGTATACCCTCTCACCCAATTTCCCGTTGTTAACATCTTACATTAGTATAGTACATTGGAGTGGAGCCTTGATTTTTAGTTAACACTATGCCAGCCACCTGCACAGGGCCTGCTGATTTCACAAGGTATAATGTAGACAGCAATGCGATTGGGATCATAAGATTTAAGCACTTCTCTAAGCCAAGAGAGCCAGCGAGCAAGTCACTTAAAACTTGCATTTTTCCTTGTCCATTATACGGAGGAAATGGCACCAGCCTTGCAAGATTTTGTGAGATATGCGTAAAATAATGTGGATGTGTGAAGGTGCTTCCACTATAGCTTGTTACTATTTGTGAATCGCACGGTAAACCTGGCGAAGAGACTTGCCACACTTCCCAGATAGCAGCGGGTTTGAGGAAACCTCCGGGTCATAGAGCTCAGATCCTAGCTTGGCCTCCTCCTCGCCACTTCCGCTCGTCCGTCTAAAACGCGCCTGCGCACTACCCCACTTCCTCTCTGGGTTCCGGCTTGGTTTTTGGCGACATGGTGCGTGTTGCTACCGTTGAGGCCTAGAGGTTTATCCGCTTGCATCTGTGCTGCTCTTGGTGTCTTCGCCCTAACCCACTTCTGCTCTCCTGCCCTGTCCTGTGTCCTCGGCGTCTGTGCCCTCAAAACTCCTCTCGGACGCAGACCGGCGGAGGGGCGGGGCGGCTTGGCGGGGCCTGGCCCATCCGGGCCGCGTTAACGGGGAGCCCTCGGGGAACCGGACTGTCCCTGGGCCCAGGGGAAGCTAGGCACAGGCCGGGGCTGGGTGCGTGGAGAAGAGGTTGCGGAGGCGCCGGGAGTTGGGAGCAGGGTCTCCGTACCTGGGTCCTAAAGTCGCCGGTGTCTCTTTTAACTCTTTAAATAGGCTAAACGCACGAAGAAAGTCGGAATCGTCGGTAAATACGGGACCCGTTATGGCGCCTCCCTCCGGAAAATGGTGAAGAAAATTGAAATCAGCCAGCACGCCAAGTACACTTGCTCCTTCTGTGGCAAAGTAAGATGAATCTCTCAGGTCGGGAGGGGGGGGAGCGAAGGTTTCCGTCCGCAGTGAGGCCTGTGTTAAAGGGACTTGATAAACTCTGCTGGTTCCGAGTTGTTGGGCAGTTAGAACGGCGCGTGCTCTTGGATCCGTTAAGAGGCGATAGAGGATGGTTGCCAATTTTAGGTTTTGTAAAACGTTTTTCATTTTAAAAAGCCCCTTGGAAACGAAAGGGTAAAATCTTTGACAAAAAGAGTCCCAGCCTGAGCCACACCTGCTTTGTGGAAAATAATTGTGTCTGTGTCGTCTAGTGGTGTTGCGAGAGATTTTCATTTAGTATTTGTATGTTGACTGTGTGCAAAAGGACTGTGTTACAGCAGTTCTCGAATGCAAAATGTGCCGTCGTCACGGTGATATGCCGGGGATGTGAACGACCCCCTCCCGGCACGACGACGAACGCAAAGGCGACTTCAGGAGTGTTAGAAACACGCATGACCCCATTAAATCCGCCAACTTTAGTGTAACCTTAGACTCCAGCGTGTTTGTAAGATAAAAGCCTTTTATTTGGTTCATAAAGGAAATTTTACTGTCTCTTACAGACCAAGATGAAGAGACGAGCTGTGGGGATCTGGCACTGTGGTTCTTGCATGAAAACAGTAGCTGGTGGTGCCTGGACCTACAAGTAAGTCCATTTCTGTGTGGTATTTGGAAGTGTGCAGACCACGTCATATATAGCAGGTTTCACGCTGTCTGGGCTATTTTCAACAGTTTACAAGACTAAGAAAGTAGGGATGCTTTTGTTTTTTTCAGGACTCGAGAGTTATGGTTTTGTTTTCAGTTAGGCAAAGAATAGAAAGGAAACTGCTGAAATAAAGGCTGATTGACGTTACTTTAGAATTTTATAACCATTAGGGTAGGGTCATCATTGTCATGATATTGTACAGGTCCGTTAGTGGGACTGAAATCTGTATGGAACTTTGACTTGCATTGCAAATTTTTATAACAATTATGAGGTCAGTTGGCTTATTCCTGTCTAAGGAAACTTGAGGTTACCTGGACCACCACACCTTTGCCATTCTAGACAGTATTGGTTGGCTCTCTTCTGCTTTGTGATCCTGACAAGGTCCAGGTGATAATTACTGAGATCAACCTCTCTATGTTGGTTATTGATTGAGTGGCCTCTTAGGTTGTCCATTTCTGGAAGTTAAAGCCTCTAATCTTGGAATTCATTGCTGACCCTCAAGCCTGAGGTGTTCATCGTCTCGACTTGTGCTGTCTAATATATTAGCCACCTTCGTATAAGATGACTCAGCTGGTGTGGCTGAAGAATGTGTAAATTTAAAACTGAAGTGCTGTAAAATATTGGAAAACGTTGAAATGAATTATGACTATATAAGCACCTTGTGGGGTTTTGATGAGAGCAGAAGGGGAAATGGGGGCTAGGGTGCTCTTGGTTGTGACAGTAAAATGAATTAGCATTTATATACCCACCATGTGGGGCAGGATGGTCATGTGTTTTTCAGGTACAGTTCCTGAATCTTGTAAAACTTTTTGTAGTCATTTTAATAGCTCTTTACAAAATGTTCTTAAGTCTCCTCTACTGCCTTAGACATTTTCTTGATACCTCTTATTTATTGTACCATCTTATAATTTATTAGTTTCTTCTGACATTCTGTTCATTCCCTTTTAATGAGTTTAGGTCAGCCCTTTGCAACCATATCTCTATTATTTTTTTTATGCTCTGTTTGAGAAATTAGATGCATGAGATTGCCTAATTCTGCAAGAGCCCGAAGACATGACTCTTAAAGGATGCCATCATTAAGACTGTAATGTAAAAACTGAGGCAGTATACTCATTAGCCATTTCACATGTTGGAACCAATTTTTTTTTTTTTTTTCCAGCACCACTTCTGCTGTCACGGTCAAGTCTGCCATCAGAAGACTGAAGGAATTGAAAGACCAGTAGAAGCACCACAATTGAACCATTGGTAGCCTATAATAAATGGTTTAATTTATGTAACAAAATTACTTTGGTTTGTTAATTTTATTAATTAGATGTTCTGGCTTGCATTGCATTGATATTGCTTTCTCAGAAAAGACTTGGAAATTAAAATCCTTTAATTTTTCAGTAGCCAAGTGATATATGACATAAGAATATAAACCTTACAAGTTAGGTATGTGTCTTAGCTTTTTTATAAGTGTTTTGTTTTGGGGGGGGCAGTTCAACTTAACTTTGAGCTACATTAGTTGAAATTGTGCAAACTTGATTTTAAATCACAGTTAATATTTTTTTAATGTTTTTAAAGGTAGGATGACATACTGTCTCTTAACTTGTGTTTTGTCTGACTATTGCATCAGCGTCTTCAGAAATCAGTGTGACATAGAATTTCAGAACAAATTTTGCACATATCTGCACTCTTTATTTTTCAGTTTGTACACAAGGATTTGCAGGATTGAATTATTCAAGTTGCTGTAGATGGTCACACTAATAAAAGAAGTTCCTTCAAGGTTTTTAAGAGTTGTGAATAGTTGAGATGATTAATCTTTATCACCTTTATTTAGTCCATCACTTAATTGCCAGTTTTTCTATAACTTTCTCTTTGGCCCATTACTGGCCTTACTAAGTGCTGTATGAGGCCTTTGCAGATTTTTCCCTTCGCTTCAGCATTGGCTCTGGCACAAACATTACCTCTCAAAGTAACACCCTGTGCCAAGCTCTTATTAGACCAATAGTAATAACTAGGGTTTTTAATTTGGGTTATTGTCGCCCCTAACGGTTTTGTTTACTATCGTAACCTCAGTGCCTAGTATAATTCCTGCATGTTAGTAGGCTTAAATGTTTCATGAGTAAATGTGTGGATCTGAATTTTGTAACAATGGTGCTAACTGATTTTGTACGGTGAAACATGAGTAGGTACTGTGAGGCAGTAGTAGGACCAGAGCTGACAAGTCAGGATTGGAGAAATGTTTGACAGGTCTTCAGGAATCCCCAGATGGGTGCTAGGATTTCACATCAGCATGGGAAGTTTTGAGTAAGCATAGAATGCTGTGGTTAAGAGGTACCAGCTCAGCCAAACTGCCTAGGTAGCTATGTGGTCTAGGTTAAGTTACTTAACCTCTGCTTAAGTTTCCTGAACAGTGCCTGGTAGTAGAATGAGTATATAGTGTGAGCTAAGGTAACTAATTTGGAGTCTTTGAAAGCTCTTGTGTTACTTTGCTTAGGAATTTGATTCTGTAGACAATACAGAGTGATGAGAATTATGTAAGCAGTAAGGTAATTAACATTTGTTGAGCCTGAGCATTCTAAGTACTGAGTATCATTTAATCCCACATTTTTTAAAAAAATTTTATTGGAGAAGGGGAACAGCCAAGTTGTTTTTCTTCAGTCTTAGTTGTGAAGGGCGCAGCTAGCTCAGCTGCAAGTCCAGTCACCATCCAGCTGCCCATCGGCAGCTCGCGTCCACTCAGCTCAAGATTCAATCTTAGTTGCGGGGGAGGGAGTGGCAGCTCAGTTCGGACACAGCTCACTGGCTTATGTGGGAATCGAACCAGAGACCCTGTTGCTCAGAGCTCATGCTCTTAACTGAGCCACTCAACTGGCCCAAATCCCACAACTTTTTTTTTTTTTTTTAAGATTTTTATTGGGGAATTGAGGGAGGGGAACAGCGCTGGGGAATTGGGGGAAGG